GCAGAACTTCGACCTAAAAAAATGATTTCTCAATCATATATTATAAATAATTTAATTTTTATTTTAAGCTTACATACTTATCTCTATGTTTCTGTCTTTTTCATACATTTTAGTTTTGTTATACATTTTTTTTTAGTTTACAAAGTTTATCAAAGGGCTTGGTGATAAGACAAACTAAATTTTCTTCTTATTTCTGCTACGAGTATATACCGTTAATATCTTATGGAATGTATATTTACACGAAAAAAAAATCTTCATAAACAGAGTTTAAAAAAAATTAACTTAAAAGCTTAAAGTTGAAGCTTTAAGGCCTAAAGTATAAAGTTTAAGGCTCAAAGTTTATTTTCAAAAGCTTAAAGTTTAAGCCTTTGAAAATCGTTATTAAAAGTTTATCGTTTATCGTTATTAAAAGGACGTGTCTTTTTCACCAGCACCATTTCCTAGAAACTGGTATGTATAATTTAGATATTCCTCCATAATAAATAATGTTAAATAACAATTGATGCTAAGTTTTCATCAAATTAATACTTCTTAGCAGCTTCAATACGGTTTTTATCTGAAATCAGGTTTTTTTAGCAGTCTTATGCTTCAGTTTTTTAGCAGTCTTATGCTTCAGTTTTTTGCTTCAGTTTTTTGGCTCGTTCTTAATTTTTTTTAATTCAGTGTTGTTACCACTTTAAGTAAATTGGGACTAGATAAACTGCTAATAACAATAGAAGATAAAATAAACTAAAAAGTTTACCAAAAATTTCTACCCTTTTTAATAATAGAAAAAAAATTAACATTATCAACAATTCTACCCGTATTAAAAATAGAAAATATAATCATTGAAAGAACTCAGGAAACTAAATTTTTAGAAATTATAATTGATAAAAATATATCTTTGAAAGCTCACATAAATTCATTAAATGCTAAAATATCAAAAAACATAGGTCTACTTTATAAGGCAAGATCTATGCTGTCGCAAAGTAATTTAAAACTTATCTATTTCTCTATTATACATTGCTACCTAATTTACGCGAATATGCCTATTTTTTAAAAATTATTTAGGTGCTCCAAAAAGCCCTAACGGTCTTATCACAGAGCACTGTGAAATACCATTATGCTAGAAAGTTCACCCCAACTTCATTATCAATGTTGAATATATGGCTAAAACCAGCTTCAAACATTGGACCATTAGTTCTAAAGCCAAAAATCTAACCTCTACATTACAGCTGGTTTTAATATCTGAAGTTGAAAACAATTTATCCGCCGAGCCAGTATATATGATGATTTAAAAATTTCACCAGCTAAGCTAAAACATATATGCAAATGGTTTAAAATTAAAAAAAAAAAATACGAATGTATCCTTACATTGTAATAACAAATGAACAAGTAAATTTATGTAAGAAGACAACTTTGTGCGGCCGTGGCGCAGTGGCTAGAGCGCTTGCTATAGAAGCAGAAGATCCAGGTTCGAAACGAGCTTTAGACGTATTTTCGCGTCACGGTAAGGAAGGAGGCGTGAACTTCCTGGCTAAATGCACTTCCGCGGTGTTCTGTGACAAGACCGTTAAGTCTTCTTGGAGCACCTAAAGTTGCAAAAAAAAAAAAAAAACTTTTTAAAACTCTTCGCCGAACTATATTGTTTCTTCAAGGTCCGTAAATTGTTTTAAAACTAAATATGACAATTTATAACATTAACAGCTGTTATTAAAACTTGATTGGCAACCGCTAGAGATGACTATGACGAACTACAAAGCAGCTGTATGCATTTGTGTGTGTTCGTGTGTGTGTGTATGTGTATTTTAGCACATATATTTAAATATACAATCACATATTTGTACACACACACACACACACACACACACACACACACACACACACACACACACACACACACACACACATATATATATATATATATATATATATATATATATATATATATATATATATATATATATATATATATATATATATATATATACATTATATTTATTATTTATTATAGTTAATAAATTATGTATGTATTCTTATAAGTGACGCAGTTTAAAAATACATGTATTCTTATAAGTGACTGTGACGTAGAGTTAAAACTATAAAACTGTTGTTTGCTATTGGTATTATTGGTAACTATTTGCTTAGCTATTATAGTTTTATAATTGGTTTTCGACGTCACATTTTTGAATAAATTTTTTAATGTTTATCATATTATAAATAATCATTAAAAATTTATGTGCTTTGTAATTAAATACAAATAACTAATGAATTGTTTTAAACCTATATATATATAATGTTAAAATTAAAAAAAATTTAGCCAATGACTAAAAAAATTGTTTTTGTTTTGATTTTTAGGTTATTTAGGTGCTCCCAGAAGTCCTGAGGTTCACGCCTCCCTCCTTACCAATGTCGCTTATTGGGCTGGTTCTGAGCCAGAACTCTAACCACTGCGCCACGGCTGCTCCAATTGAAAAACTTTTTTTTTTATTTTACAATCTTTTTAAACTTTATTTTTGGTTTTTTGTTTTTAGTATTTAGTAAATGCTTTATTATTTATTTAATGGTTTATTTATATTTGACTACTAAATAAGTGGTCAAATAGAAAAGGTCGAAAGTTGCGCACGAGATGAAGCAACCTTATGCGTCATTATTAAGCTCACTATTTTAAATATAAAATAATTGTAGAATTTGGGGGGTTGATTTTTTTATATAATTAATTTCAGTTTCAAAACGAGGGGGGCTGGAATTAATTTTGGTGAAGAATATTATGGGAATTCCTATAAAATTCTCAAAATTTTAAAAAGAAATGACTTGCTAATTTATTAAGTATAAAAAAAATTTAATAATCATTTTTCTGTCTTCTTTTTTTCTGTCAAAAATATAACCGAAGTATCATTAAATTATTAGATTATTAAAGGAAAATATATAATATCATATATATATATATATATATATAAATATATATATATATATATATATATATATATATATATATATATATATATATATATATATATATATATATATATATATATATATATAATAATAATAATAATAATAATAATAATAATAATAATATCTTTTAGTTTTAAATTAAACTTTTGATAAAAAGTGATTTAATAAAAATAAATATTTTAAAAGTAAAATAAAAAAACAACAAAAGCAACAAAAAAATAACATAAAAAAAGAGTTTAAATTTCCGAAAGAAAATAAGAAAAAATTCCTTTCAATATAATTTGTTAAAAATATCAATAAGAAATAAATTCTTAAATAAGAATTATTTTCTAATAACTTATTTTCTATTTTCAATAGGAAAATTTTTTTTATAATATAAGAAAAAAATATTTCTTATAATTGCTATAATTATTAATTTAATATAAAAATTACACGACAAGTTGGAAAAAAAAAAAAAAAATTATTGTGACATAAAACTATATATGAAAACTATGAGCAAAAAAAAATTTTTTGATTAAAAAATTTCGGGGTGTGGTGATAAGGCAAATATTGTCTTCTTTTAGCCCCGGTCATGTAGATTTTATTTATATAATACGGCATTGTATTCTTTTTTTAATGACAAATAAATAAAATAAATAAATAAAATAAAATAAAAATGTACTTATATTTTATAATATTTATAGAATTATTAATTTATAGAAATGTAATATAAAAAAATATGATTTATATATAAACTAAATTAAATGTAAAAAATTGCAGAAATAAATAGTGGCAATCTTTAACAGTAAAAACAAAAAAAACAAGAAAATGTTTTTGTACTGGAACTGAGTCTCGCTAAACTTCTGACATACAGCGACTTTGCAAAAAAAAAAAAAAAATCAGTAGCAAGTAGTTGTATTAATTGTCGAAGTTATTATAGTTATGATAGTTTGAAACGATACGTTTTTAATCTTTAAAAACAAAAAAAAAAACTAAGAATTTAGGTTGTTTAATAGTTTAAATTTTATGACTGACTGAAAGAAATTGGATGCAAAGTTATTTGTAAATAACAAAAATAACAAACAACCGCTCTAAGGATAGGTATAATACATGAATTTATAAAATACTAAATTGATGTATGTAAAGACTTCAATACAATATTTTATTAGTAAAAAAAAATATTAAATAGAATAATTTTATAAAATGTTTTGACGTTTTAAGTACTAAATTTTGGATATATGTGTTGAAACTAAACATTTTTTTTCCTAATTTAAAGTTTCATAACTTTTTCAATTCTTATTATAATGCATCAAACATGGAATCCAAAAAAAGGTCTTTAAAAGAACAGTAAGTAAATTTAAAAGTATTTATAATAGTAATGAATGAAATATTTATAATAGTAAAAACTTTTTTATGATTTAAGATAATTTATAACAGTTTGTACAGAAAATAGTTTTAAACAGTATGAATAATTATTACTATTTTTAACATTTATTTTTACAACTAAACTTGGAGTTTTAATTTTTTTTTCTTAATTTTGTCATATAGTAGTCATCGTTTCAATCAGCGGGGACCCCATCTCTTAAATTATTATTTTTTTAATGATGGGTTTTTTTTTTTTATGATTACAAATAACACACCCTACTGTATATAATATATGAAATATATACAACTTGTTTGAGTTATGCAAATTTTACGAAAAATATGTAAGTAAAATAAAATTTATAAATTGGAAATAAAATAAAATTTTTAACAAACTTATTAAAACATTTATTAGGTTTAATAAATTCAACTTTAAACTTATAACAACTCTCCTACATTATATAACATTTTAATTTTTATAAGATAATATCGAATAACAAATAAATAAACGATCAATAAATAAATTATTAAACAATAAAATAAATAAAAGTGACAAAAAGAATAAAGAGACAAATTAAACGAGAAATTTGACACTTTAGCAATTTGCGTCGATCAAGCTCAAAAACAAAGTAAACAATAGTGTCTTAAAAGTGACTTTGTTGATTTACAGACGAGACAATGATACTTTAATGTATTTTATTTTTAGAGAAACAAAAGTTTTTGTTTTAAACAATTAAAATGCGACTTTTAGTAATGCTTGTATTTATGCTCAAACGTATTTAAAATATTCAGTCACGAATGATTTTGTATGAAGCTAGAGTACCTAACTTTTTTTTTCTCAATATTCCCTGTTTCTTTTTCCGTCGCCTAAAATTTACTTGAACCCACTTAGACTGATCTAGTCGGCGTTGTTTGGAGTTTCTATTGAATGCCATAATTTGAATTTAAGAAAACTTTATTTTACGGACTGGTTGCTATTACGAAGACTTTAAAACGTCTCTCTATTTTCATAAAGTTGGTTTGTTTTTTATTATTAACAATAACATCCTCATGAAGTCTTTGGAAATTTTTTTCCAAAACACAATTGAGCAGAATAAATTTGTTAGTATTACGTTCAAGAAAAGAAAATGATAATGAAAAAAGAAACAGTTTTTATATTATATATTGTTTCAGCTTTTGGGAGTAATATTCTTTGGAAAGAAGGTTTTTTTAATTTTTTTAATTTTAATAAATTTAGTAATTACTTATTATTTTTAAAATAGTTTTACATTCTTGGATGTTATTTTAAAAACAAAACGTATTTTTATTAATATATTTAAATATTGACATATTTAAGTGAAAAAAAAAATTGTTATTTAAAAAAAAAAAAAAAAAAAAAAAAAAGAGAAAAAGATCTTTGTGCTATTTTCAAGTGTTTCACTTTAATAAAAAATATACAGAATTATCAGTAAAAGTGCAACTTTTAACCAAGTGTTACTTTTAATTCGCTTTTAGCCAGAATTAATTTTAACTAGCTTTGAACTGGGGTTATTTTTAACTTTTCTTCAAAAGATTCAAAAGATTATTTATAATTTATTTTTAAATGATTAATCAATTTTATATGAAAAGATATTATATTAATTTCATATATTCGATGTTCGATAGTTTCTTGGGCGAAATCTTCGTTTATGTAAACCCCAGTTTCTCTAATCCTCTAAGATGTTTTACTGAGCTGACTATTCTGCTTTTGTCGTGAAATCAGCTGATCATGAGTATATATTTGATCAGCTGATCATGAGTATATATTTGATAAGCTGCGGTGCAGTCGTTCAATTGCTTCATAAGTAAGAGATAAATTGAAGAATAAAGCAAGAATTTTATGTCAGCTGTTTGATGGCATCAGCAATTGATTCTACATGAGAAAAATATTAAAAAATACCTTGTATCGTATAAAAATTTTAAAATCTTTTCTAAAATTATTTAAGCAGATTTTTAAAATTATATTAGTAACTTTTAGAAGCCGTTAACTGTTTTTTTTTTTTTAGTTTAAATTTTGTTTTGCGATTTTTTTTTTTCTTGTGGTTCCATTATGGAAAAAATAAATGGACGAAAAAAGACTTTTATAATATTTTTTATAACAATTTATTAAATAAAATTTTATAGTAAGTATTTGATAAGCATTTAATGGTATGTTTGATACAAATAGTAGGACTATGAGGACTATGAGGGACTATGAGGGTTACAAATAATACAACTATAAGAGTTACTGATTCTTTTAAAGAGAAGTTTATTACAAGTTGATTTATTTTTCTATTATTTTTTCAATTTATTGTTCTATTCTTTTTTCAAAATTTTGAAATTTAAAATATTTTTTGATGGTTGAGATATCGCATTACAAAAAAAATATTTAGGAGGAGCTGAGGAGGAGATAGTTTGAATAAAACTTTTGAAACATGAATTGTGTATAATACAAATATTTAAAACACTGCTTGTATAAAACATTGCTTATATAAAACATTGCTTATATAAAACATTACTTATATAAAACATTGCTTATATAAAACATTGCTTATATAAAACATTGCTTATATAAAACATTGCTTATATAAAACATTGCTTATATAAGATTGGTATTGTGTTTAATTTTTACTTTTAAGTTTTTTTCTATCCATAAAATGCCTCAGATTGAATTTTTACTCTCCAATAGAAATCTCATCATTTTTACTGGTTTTATTTTTTTAATTAAACTTTTATTTAAAGTAAAATCTTATAAATTTTGCTTATTTATTGTATTTTTGTTTATTTATTATTTATTTAAACTTTTACAAATATAACATCTAACTTGGAAATTAAAACTCTAACGTTTAGATTTTTAAAATTTTAAGTTCTAAAATACATTTTAAATATGTGATGCTGTAGAAACTTGAAATTGACAAATGACAGGATTAATAATTTAGTTTGAAAAATTATTTTAAAATATAGTAGATGTTGCATTATTTCTATATTTTTAAATGAATATAACTAATAAAATACAACTAAGTGAAATTTTACCATAGAAATATTATAAAATTTTGAAATATTTAATGAATAAATATAACTGAATAATTGTAAATTGATCAATAGACTAAATTTTATTTAGTTTCATTATAAAAATATTATTAATTAATTATAAAATCATTATAAAGATGTTTTTACGTGTTTCCTAATTTTTGTTTTGAAAAGTTTTGTTAAAATTTCCAAATCCAATTGCTTGCTGCTTGACATTATCAGAAATATTTTAAGAAACCCAAACTTTAGACTACTTTATAAAGTAAACTTAACATTACATTCTAACTGCATTTTCTATATAGTATAAAAGTGGAAATTTATGTTACTTAAGTAACGTGTATAAATTTCCACTTTTAAGCTATAAAGTAAATATAGTTATAATATCATGAAGTTTAACGGTGTCTGGCAGATGTTGCCACCATGTGAAGCGTATAATATTTCTAATAGTTTGGGTATCTATTAGAAGATGTTTTCTTATTAACCAGACAACTCTACATTTATAACCCCAAGCCAGACAACTATATATGCTAGCAATATTGTTAGATTTATATCTAAAAACGCTAGAACGAAACACTTGTCAAAAAGTCCTATAAGAATTTGGAGAAAAAAACATTTCAGATTTGACACCCGTTATATTAAAACATTTTAGATAAAAAAAATTTTGCTTTTTTTTTTGTTCCGAATTTCTACAGGAACTATAGGACCTATAGGACCTTTTGTAAAGAAAAACCTTTATTACGTAACTTAACCGTTTGATTGCATAAAAGAAAGTACTGGTTTCTATTAGCATTGAACAACTCTAAGATAAAAACTGAAATAAATGAATTTAAAAGGGGGGTTTCAATAGCCCTTATATTTTTTTAAAATAATAGAAACATCAATGAAAATAACTGAGATAATTTTAAAAGAAATCATCCTGAAAATATTTAGGGAACAAGACAAAAAAAAGTTTAAAAATTTAAAGTAAATGGTGGTAAACAAAAATTGTTTAACAGACTTTTAATCTGTCCATATCAATCCCTCAGTTGATGTTGAAACGCTTTATTGCGCTATCTCTATTTAAGTCAGTCAATGTAAATGTATAATTTAAATATAATAAAAGTAGTACAATTAATAATATAAAATTATTTAAAAAGTTATAACTTAAATAAACAAGAAAAAACTTAAAAACCGGCAAGAATTCGCTTTAACGTCTTTTTGCGTTAACAACCTGCTACCTTTCAGTACACGTAATAATCTAAAAATGTACGCTTTACTATTTCTTGCGCAATTAATAAAAAAATGCATAATTCGAGTTTAGATATGTTGTTTTAATAATACAGCACCATCCTGAGAGACGTAATAATTGCGTAATTAGTAAAAAAAAAGTATCAACTTGTTTAATTTGCAGGGATGTACCAATGCATTGGCCTGCCGATGCATCGACCATTTAGCCGATGCATCGGTGTCTTTATCAATTATGGTAACCACCGGCAATGGCAATTGTTTTGAAAAATCAGTTTTTTTTATTTTTGTGTTCCTATTTTTTATACAAAAATATTATTATTCCAAAAACGAAAATGCATGTATAAGCCTAAGTTATTATATAAACATATCTCAACCACTAAACCATTAAATATTTTTAACTGTTTTCTATTAGGAGTTCCCTGCATTTATTGTCCTTTTATAATTTAGAAGACCAATCATATGACTTATAAATTCAAACTACCCGCGGCCGTGGCGCTGTGGTTAGAGCAATTGCTTTAGAAGTAGGAGATCGAGGTTCGAAACGAGCTCTGGAAATATTTTCGCGTCACGGTAATAAAAGAGGCGTAAACTTCCTGATTAAATGCACTTCCGCGGTGCTCTGTGACAAGACCGTTAGTACTTCTTGGGGCACCTAAATAACAAAATATATATAAAAAAAAAAAAAAAAAAATGGAGATAAGTTTAAAATCAAGAAATTTATTATAATGTAAAATATTAAAAAAAAATTAAGTTTAAAATCAAGAAATGTATTGTAAAATACAAAAAAAAAAATTTCCTGCCATTTACTCTTCTTGATATTTTTATTTTGCAAAATTTACAAATTGCTTTAAATGTTTTCATCTATATCAAAATAGTCTATTACACTTTTAGTTGCTTTACTCATTTATTTCTTATTTAGTTTTATTTTTCAAACTAAATTTCTAAAATATAGTTAAAATCTTAAAACGTTAGAAATAAAATTAAACAAAAAATAAATCAACAATGAGTAAAGCAACTTAGCATTACGCAAATAGACAAGTATTAAAATTGACCGTTAACATTTGAAAAAAAAAATTATTTTACCTTTGTTAACATTATATTTGAAAAAAAAATCCTAATTCATTGTTATATTATCGTTATATTATTATATATTTTTTCCAAAATATTTTTTATTACTATTATAAATTTATTATTATAACACAGAAAAATATGTAAAAAAATAGTAATAAAAAAAAAAAAGAAAGTAAAATAAAAGTTAAAAAAAAAGTTAAAAAAAAAGTTATTTGAACTTCACGGAAATTTTCAAAGAGTATTTATCAAGTTAAAAAGCAATTTATATATATAAACTTTAAAATCGCTTCCACAGGTATTTGCTAAAAATGGTAACACAAAAACAGCTTATAGACGACCTGGAAAACGCTGAAAAAATTGCTAAAGAAGAGCTGAAACAAGCTCTTTATGTAATTAAAACACTTACTGCCAGAATTAACGAACTCATTTCTAGAATTCTTCTGCAGGAGATTAAAAGTCTATGAAAGATAGCAAAAGTACTGAAAAATCTTTGTTATCTAAATTAGTTAAACAAGTCGGCAAACCCGGTACATTAGCAAATGTAGCTGTAGTGAGCGCCTTCAATAAGCATAATCAGGACGTGACTAATAAAGAGAAGAGAATTGTAGTGTTAGGTCTACCTGAGTCTGTTAAAACTCAACCAAGATGGATATGACATCCTTATGTAAATCAGTCAATAAAATAAGAGTTGAACTTTAAAAAAAAAAAGAACTTTAACTCTAATAAACTGCTAAATCTAACCCTAAAAATTTAATAAAAACTGCTAAATCTAACCCTAAAAATACATTTTAAAATTATTTTTTATATTAACGCAACTTCTCTTAGTCCGGCTAAAATGAACGGATTATCTGCACTCTGTGACATTAATATGCATGATTTAATCTTTATCTCTGAAACATGGTTTAGTGAAATATCTGCCACTTAATTAAATAACAACTCACTAGTAAAGAAAAAAAGGAATATGTCACGATTGAGGTGTTGCTATCTACATCAAGCATGATCTAGTCGCAAATGAGGTATCCGATCGTCATCTAAGAGAGACTTTAATCAACAGCAACTCCGACCAAATATGGTGTGAAATTAAAATCGATAATAGAATAGTTCTTATTGGTTGTGCTTATAGACCACCTTTATCGCATATAAATTATATAAATAAAACAACTATTTTAGCTAAGCAAGCTGTTGATAGAAAAGCGTATAGTTGTATGTTACTAGCAGGTAATTTTAACATTTCGGATATCAAATATATATATAAATTTTGGTAAAAAGATTATGGAAATTAACTGGCAGCAGTTATTTGAAAATAATAATATTAATGAGTGCTATGAATCTTTCTGCAATAAATATGATAAACTCAGCAAGCAATTTATCTCGTTAAACAAAGTCCATACTACTCGTAATGCACCGTGGATGAATAAGGAAGTATTAGCTATAATAAAGCAATAAAATTAGCAATACTGATTCATAAATATAGGAAACTAAGAAACCAAGTTTAGAAAGCATGTAAACGTTGCGCTCAAGTATTTGAAGCACAACTAGCATTAGATAGTCCTAAAAGAATTTACGCTTATACTAAGGTGCAATAGAATATTCATGTATCTGTTGGTGCTATATCTGATGAAAAAGGTGAAATGTTAACAGGGCGTACATATTGCAAACAGGCTTAACGAACACTTCAAATCAGTTTTTATTAATGATAGTAAAAATAGTGGAAAAGATTATCAGGTAACAGAAAACTAAATATCTTGAAAAAACGAGCTGCATCTCACATAATCAACATGAATTCATGTCCGAAAATAGATGTACGTCAAACTTATTGGAGATAAAATCAGTTCATAAAACCTATGGTAATGAAACTAATCTTTTACAAGAAACAAGACCTTAGTTTCACGGTGCTGATTGTCTCTTTTTTCAAAATGATTTTAACATTGTCACAGAATGGTCAAGGAACAGCTAATGGAATTGAATGCTGGAAAATTTAAAGTTGATTATGAAAATAGTAATCATGAATATGTAATGAATGATGAAAATACACCATTTACTCTTCAGGCAATGGATAATGAAAGACACCTGGGTAACTTTATCTCAAATGATTTAAAATAAATACAGGTCGCAACACGTAAAGTAAATATGATATCCGGCCGGTTAAAAAAAACATTTACATCAAGAGATTTGGAGTAAACTATACGCTACTATTCAGCCACATCTGGACTAAAAAAATGGAATCAAAGAAATTAAAAAAATTCAGCACAGACCAACAAAAGTACCTCATGGTTAAATAGGACTATTGCTGAAAAATGTTGGGGTCATAATTTTACTACTTTGGAAACATGCAGGCAACGTGGCCAACTAGAAAACGGCTTTGAGATTATCAATTGGCATAATTTACCAATTTGCAGATCGTCCTGATACGTGAATTCATATATAATAATGCTCGTCAGAATTTCTACACAAACTGTCAATGATTTGAATAACTTGCTGTTAGCATGCAAAACGGCTCCGTCAGTTTATGCATCCGAGAATAAAATTGAGAAGTATTTTTTTTCTACAGCTGAAAACAATGCATCTTTTACTGAAGGTGAGCTGCACGTTTATTAAATAATTGGTACTTTAACAGCTACAATTACAGACTTTTAAGAAACTATTTGTTATAAACGTAAACTTTAATTAAATGAAAGCAATCTGTTTTCTCTTTTTCTCAGTTTTGATATCAACTAACTTGCTATGGATTAACAAATGCTTTTTTTACCTAAATTTTTTTTTAATTATTTGTCATGTAATCTAAAAAGATTTTACTATAAACTATTACTATTACGACGTATTAGTAAAAATTTGTGTTGGCCTGTACCAATCGGCATAGGCATCGGCATAGGCTGAAAGTAAGGGGGGTACACTGCTAGTAATTTGTAAGAAAACAGTAACAAATTAATACTGTTTTTTGACTAACAATTTAAAAAACGTCAATTATTTTTGAAACTGCGACAAAAATTTAGCTAGTGAATAACATGTCAATGGCTATCACAGAGAGTTTTAATAATCATTTACAGTACTCATTAAAAATGTTTTACATCTGTATCTCAAAGTGTAAAGTCTTGTACCCCAAAATTTTTTTATTAAAATCAAAAACAATTTCCTTTCAAATACCATTGTATTATTATTATTTTTTTGCGGCTCTTGTCCGCTTTTAGTGGCTGCTACTAATGGTTCACTAAATAACCGATAAGCAAAACTAAAATGGAACTTCGTGATTTGGTGCGACATATATGTTACCTTATGTCACCATCAAATAAAAATTAAATAATTTTAAATGGGTTACGGAAATATTCCACTGAATTTTCTATTGGTTGTTTACCTTTATTTAAAACTAAATTTAAAAAAGATACCTTAAAGATATGCGAATAATGGATCAAGGTTTATCGTCGTCTTTATATTTAAAATGCATCTTTTGATTCTTAAAATTTTTTCTTTTAATAGAATAACTATTTGTTTTTTGCTTTTTGTTTAAGATAAACCAAAGATTTTTTGTTTTGTTCAATTTAGCTTAACTGAAACTAATTTAGATTCTATATATCATCTATACAATTTTTGCTTTTATGTTTGAGATTGTTATCCTTTATAAACATGTTGTTAACGTTAAGAAAAATATATTTTATACTGGGTCCGAGTTATTATAATATAAAGACATTATACTATATATGCTGGTTTATAGTGCTTTCACTTGCTATAATTTTTTAACTTGTGCGCGCTAAAACAACCCTCGACCTTGTTCTTTTTTTCATGTTTAATGGTTGCCTTATCCGAAGATTAAACCTTCAAACTTGTATCCGAAGGTTAAACTTTAAAACTTGTAAACTTTTAAACTTGTATCCGAAGGTTAAACTTTTAAACTTGTATCCGAAGGTTAATCTTTTTCCCAATTATTTTTCAATAGTAAGATTACCCATTATAAAACAAGAAATAAGTAAACTCATTTCTCCAGTTTTTTTTTGCTAAATTTGCCACTGTAATCTTTTTACCCAGTTAGTTTTTTTTTGCTTTTCAGCAAAAAACTTACACTATAAGATTCAACAAAATGTTGTTTTTGAGATATTTGTAAGATTTAAACCTAGTTTTACCTCACAAAACTTTGTTCTAATCTTTTAATGTTACGATTTTCCATTTTTGATGTGTTAGGCTTTCTCCTTGTTCCAAACTATGTTGTGTGTTGAGTAAAGCCTTTACACAACCTTTTTTGCGGTGGTAGTTTAGTGGTGAGTTTCGAATGCGTTTATATTTATAACAAAATGGTTTTTAAGTTGAAAGTCTGATAATTTTCAAAAACATTTTCTTTTTTAAAAGTTAGAGACAATTTTTTAAAGTATTACTTACTTGAAAAATATAATTAAATGTCAATACATGTTAAAACTTTTAACATTAATTTTTTTAACATTACCATTAACAAAAATTTAAAAATAACATTTTCATCATTAACATTAAAAAAATTTTAAAATTTAGTTAAAATTTTTTTAACGTTTTTAAAATATAATTTTTAAACAAAATTTTAAAACTTTATACATACTGAAGTAGATTTAAGGAATATGCCCTATTTTGATGTCTTTTGGTCCACACAAAGCCGATCGTGTTTAGATTTTTACAGTAACGTATCATTCTTACTTATTATCTATCAAAAATTCTAAGCCCGATCAGCTTGGCTTTATAGCTATATGGTAATTTTTTTAAACATTAGTATAAGCAAAATTATATTATATTAATCAGTTGTGCAAGTGCTTTAAAAGATAATACTTCGGTATTGACTCAGTGAAAAATAATCTGCGCCATTTTAAAATCATCTTTATTTAACGAAACACATACACACTATTTTGACAAATGCTTTAAAAACAAAGTTCAAATCATTAATTGTTTTTGCAGATTTCTTACTTAATTCAGATTTAATTGTATTCAATTCTACGTTGGATTTCGTTTTATTAGAGATAGTCGGTTGTGTGAAACTCAACTCGTTTCATAGTTTCATTCTTTTCTAATATTTTTTTTTCAGATTCGCATTTGGATTTATTTTCACTTTGGCCTAGATTTCGATGTTTTTCAAATAAAGTATGATGCTAGCAATGTTACTATAACGGTAATCGGTAAAATGCGAACTGCGAACCGCGAACTGCGAACCGGTAAAATGCGAACTTTTTTGCGAACCATAGTTCTATTGGTTGTTAATGATGTAATATTTTTTTATTTTCTGTTAACCTTTCAATTGTTTATTTTACTACATATTTAATGGACTTTAAGCAAAAATAAAAAATACATTTCTGAATAAACGAGTCAAATGTTTCAGGTAATATTGATATACATTTCTGAATGAACGAGTCAAATGTTTCAGTTAATATTGATATAAGCTAAGTAGTTGCAAAGTTAAACAGAATTAAATTTAAAATGAAAACTAATTTAAGAATAGAATCCAAAATAAATTGTATTCAAACAATTGCCACCTTTCGTTTTATTTAAGTAAAACCAAAGAAAAAGTTTTTATGAGAATTTTTAGTGAAACCTACAAAGAAATTCTCATTTAATATATGTTCAATCTACAGTTATTTTTACATTCAACATGTAGTTTTTAATATCTTACATATTTTCATTCAAACACAATATTATAAAATGTTTTTATACAAATGAATCAAATTTAACAAAGCTAAAAAAAATTAATTAAAAATTGATGCAAATAAAAATTAAAAAAAAATTTATTAACTTTTATATGTTATAAATTTTATATCAATAAATCGTTTTATAAATAAAATAATTTTCCTGTACGCTGATTTTAGGAGATTTGAATGTTGGATACGATTTCGAATCACAAAATGAAGAAAATAATATTCATGTTGGTTTTAAAGATACTTTAAGAGTATCAGAAATCCAAAAGCATGGCAATTATTCGTTGCTGTGGAAATGGAAAAATAACGACAAACTTCATATAGATTTATCAAATCAAATAAAACAATATAACACCCTGAAGCAAGCATGTGGAATTTATTTTTGGCTTTTTCAAAAAAAGTCAATCAGAGGAAAACTAAAGGTGGTCCTCCATAATCCTTTTAATGAAACATATCAATTTTTTGTGAACTTATATTTTAAAAACTGGCGTGCTGTAGCTAGAACATTTCAAGTTTCTGAAAAAAAATATCTTTACAATTTTTACAATATAAACTTTGAAGTTGATATTGAAAATGGTACGACGCCATTTGGGAATTTGTATTTTGATTTAATTCGGTTATCTTCTAGATGTATTGGTTGGTCCTACGATAATGTAAACCAGCCGCAAGTATCACTTAAAAAGGGTTTATATAACGATGTAGGCGGTGAGTTTTAATTTTTTTTTTAAATCAAAAAGTTACCAATAAAGAGGTTATTAAAATATTAAAAAAGATAACACAGAAAAATTGGTATCTTTTTATATATTATCTAATACATGTTAAACAAACCAATAGAGTTAACAAATACTGTTGTGCTTTGTGCACAAAAAATGTAAAACCTTTTCTACACCTATTGCAGTGCGTACCTTTGTTACCTTTTTGCAATGATTGCGCATCTTTAATCTACCCTAATACTATAACATCTCCCATCTTATTCTAGGTTTAGAATCAGTCAACATATCTTATCTCATAATAATAATATTTATTATTACAAATATATAATCAGATTTTTTACAATTCTTGTTATTAACGGTATGTCTCTTTGTAACATGGTGCAGGATGGTTTTGTTTTTTTTACAACAAAGTTATTAAACGATAATTTTTTTTGGGTCAGTTATTACAAGAATGACCTCAATTGATGAAAGGAGCGTTTAACTTCACCGAATTAATGGTTTGCCAAATAATATTTATGGCCAGTGTAGTCAATAATTGTGATTGGCTTCTTTTTCACTCATTTCTTGTTCTGATAATCTTCCTAAAGTAAACTAATTCTAAAATTTGGAATTAACTTAAGTTAAATATTGAACAGATTATTGGATAAAGTTAAATTTAGTATTAAACAGGTTATTAGATTAAGTTAGGTTTAAACAGGTTATTAGATTAAGTTAAGTTTAAACAGGTTATTAGATTAAGTTAAGTTTAAACAGGTTATTAGATTAAGTTAAGTATTAAACAGGTTATTAGATTAAGTTAAGTATTAAACAGGTTCTTAGATTAAGTTAAGTTTAAACAGGTTATTAGATTAAGTTAAGTTTAAACAGGTTATTAGATTAAGTTAAGTATTAAACAGGTTATTAGATTAAGTTAAGTTTAAACAGGTTATTAGATTAAGTTAAGTATTAAACAGGTTATTAGATTAAGTTAAGTATTAAACAGGTTATTAGATTAAGTTAAGTTTAAACAGGTTATTAGATTAAGTTAAGTATTAAACAGGTTATTAGATAAATCAAATTTTTTCTAAAAAAATATTTTTCGACATAAGAGTCAATAATCTATTTTAGCTTTGTGTAAAAATAATTACCGATACTATATTTGTTTTTTAAAGATATAAACAAACTTTATTTTATGTTAAGAGTTTTTCGCTCTATAAAATACAATTACAGAGAAAATTATTTTTCTATTGATAACAACAACTGCCTAAAACAAAAAATCGAGAAAAAGAAACAAAACAAAAAAAATTGTTTTGTCATTTTATTAAAAAACTACTTTAGTGAAGACAGAGCATTTATACTTAGTAGTTCTACTGTTCATTATACTTAGTATTTATACTTTTAATTTCTAGTTGTTTAGTATGAAGCACTACTTGTTTATGTCTTGTAGTTCAGTATGATGCACAACCTGATTATGTCTACGTGGCGGCTTGACATACTAGAGATATTAATAATTTACTTGTATACTAACAAAAGATTGTTATTTTTTTTTAAATATTTTGTCAGTTTTTCTTTTAAAGGTACCGAAAATCTAAATGGTTTTTATGAAGAAAATCATTTTTGGCAAAGTATGTATAAATGGTGGCAAATTGATAAATATGCAACTTCAAAAATTGATTCAAAAACACCACTGAGTTCTGAAGAAAACAAATTGCTCGCCGAATTAAATAAAGTCGAAAACCATGTCGACAACTGGTATTATCCTGGTGGTAAAGTATTCTCTAACCTTGATAATTACTCACAACAAAAGTTACAAAGTTTATTTCAATGCAAAGAGAAGAAAACTACAGACATATTTTTAAATAACATTCAAAATAACAAAAAAGAAATTTTCCAATCCATCCGTACAAAAACATTTTTTTCAAAAAATCTACAACGCGGCGCTTGTGTAAACTCAGCTTTTGATAGGTATGTTAATTTCAGTATGAAAAGAAGACATTTGTTTCCATCACGAGATATATTTCCTTATGGGCGGGATGATTGGTCAGGTCAGAAATTCTTCTGGTTTTTGTTAAACTTTGTTTTTTTAAGTAAACTTTTAATACATATATATATATATATATATATATACACATATACTGCCGTCCTAAGAAAAAACGCAGTAATCGCAAAAATTGAAAAATCGAGATTATTGCACCAAACGTTTTAACATCGTTTTCTGTGTAATAACGCTCTATATAAAAATATTGTGGTATATTCCGAAGTCATCAAACCCATAGTTCATTTTGCCGTAAGTTAAAAAAATATATACACACAAAATTTAAAAGTGGCTTTTTCTCAGAATGTCATTTTTGTTGTTTACTGCGTTTTTACTTAGGGCGGCAGTATATATATATATATATATATATATATATATATATATATATATATATATATATATATATATATATATATATATATATATATATATATATATATATATATATATATATATATTCATAGGAATGAAGTTCAATGAAGTTAACCACCACATTTTGTTTCCTTTAACACTGGAATATTTTATCTCAAAGCGTTTACATGAAGCCGTAAAAACTTCTAAAAATTTCAATAATACTACGAAAAAAACCGAGACCGATATATTATATAAAAACTTAAACATTCCTTTTAAATATACAAATAAAGAAAAAATTTCTACATTTACTAAGTTATTTCGAATTTTAGAAATTGAAGGCTGGGATGAGGGTAGTAGCTTAGGAAACACTGATCATTTACTAAATTTAAACGAAGGCTACACGCAATCAGTATATTTAATCAGAAGAGAGTTATCTCAAAACAAAAAATTTTTTAAAAGACTTCTTAAAACAGCGCGATGGTACAATGAGGTTGGTGAACTACATCAAATATCATTTCCAAACAAAGGTTAGAATTTATATTTTATAATTTAAAGCACATACTACGGTAAAAATAAGCCAAACCACACCACTTTGTAGTGTGGTGTAGCTGTACCTAGCATAGTAGGTGTAGCCCTACACAGTACCAGGTTTAAAAAAAAGTATATCGATTTAATATATGTGATAAGTTCTATATATGCAAGAAATTTAAAAGTCTTGTTTTTATTTTAAATAAGATTTATGCAAAAACAAGAATAGTGCTATGGTAACGATATAATAGTTACGATATTTAATCCTTTACTTTTCATAAAAGGAGCACACAAACGCAACAGTTTCAACTTATTGAACGATGCGAAGTTTACAAATTTTATTACTCAGTATAATAGCAGTTTAAGAAGCTTTATTAAGCTTTTAAATAAAGCTTTTAAAATATTAAAAAAACCTTAACTAAGCAAAAATTTATTTAGTTTAGCAGTATGTTAATGAGTATTAAATGTTTTACAATATTAAATATTATTATATTATTATTATTATTATATAATTATATATATATATATATATATATATATATATATATATATATATATATATATATATATATATATATATATATATATATATATATATATATATATATATATATATATATATATATATATATATATATATATATATTAGTGCACAACAAAATGATAAGAAATCCGTTCTAATTTTAGAAAAGTCAATAACAAAAATGTTTCAAAACTAACTTTTATATAAAATAAAACTGTTTACAACATTGGGCAAAATTTAACAAAACTCATTTTGGGCAAGTTGTGAAAATATTAGTTCTAGATAAATTTGTTTATCATCAAAAGATTATACTTTTTTTTATATTTCTATATAATAAAAAAACAGCATTGCAAACAAACATTCTTTGAAAAATAAGCAAGTAAATTAAGCAGGTCTTTAAGAACAACATGTTATCGTAAGAACTTAATAATGACATAAAAATTTTAAAATTTTAAATTGGACATACGGATAACAATACATTACGTCATTTCTTAGTTACATAGCATAAGACTAATACTCTAAGAAAAGTGAACTAAAAATGTTTATTGATTTGCGGACTTATTGGACCTAAAATATAAAATCTAAAAAAGTCCTCTTTACTAGATGATTTAGATCGACCAGGTCAAAAAAACCATAAAATTCTCTCCCCTTACTAGAAAGTCTGAGTTTACCAAACCATTAAAAATTAAAAATTGCCCTAATTATTAGATGGTCGGGATACGCCTATGCTAGTGGCTACTCTTATTTTTCTCTTCAATATTACGTGGTCTATTACGTGTTCTTTTGCAAAATTTAATCAATCATTCATGTGTTTTGTTTTCAATGGAGGTTTTTACTAAATTTTTTTGCGTTTAAGGTGAAAACCATCAAGATTAACTCGCTGAATTATACATAAATTACCAATCGGCTTTTGAAGCAATTTAACCTAAAGAAAAATTTACAGCTTTTCTCAACGACTTTTGTCTATCACGCTTAATGTTGATGGAGGTTCTGAAATATTTTTATTTCATATGTATGAGGACTATTAACTTAGTTTCTTACAACAGCTCGGCTGTCTCCAATAACTTTAGTTATGTGACTAATGGAATCATCCATTTTCGTTAAGTTAGATGAATTTTTTTCTCAGATAGGCTTATCGGTGCAGCACAAATCTAAGTTATATTTTTGATAGTTTTTAACAGTTCAGTTAAATAATCACCTGTTATGTTTACATCGAACAAACGTTAATAGTTTCCCACAACTGCGGTTTGTAAAGTTTTTTTTTTATAAGTGTCATAATTTTGTTGTACTAAAAATATCATTTTTTTCAAAATAAAAATAAGTTAAAAAGAAATTTCTTTTAACCGTAATTATTTCTGTATAAAAGTGTATCAAAATTATTCTTTAAGTCCTTGTATTGCGTTTTATAAAATTTTGAGGTGTCTCATAATTTTGTACTTACGGCTATTGCTGTAGATCAAGGTTCTTGCTAGACAATAATTCGTCGGACATTTTTTTCCCGTGAACTTTAGGAAGTCTTCCCAAAAGAATTCCCAGAAGTCAAAAGTCCTCAGAAGTCTTCCCAAAAGACTTCCCAAAGTTCACGGAAAAAAAAGTCTGACAAAATATCATCTAGGTTCTTGCTCGCAGAAAAGTTTTAATGTGCAAGATAATACCTTTTTTTCAATTTTTTTGCCAACATCTTCTTTTTAAATTCTCTTAAAGTTAGTTACATGAATATTTTCTTTTAAACAATGATATTTCTTTTAGGCACAACTGCAGACAAAGGCAAAAACGTACTGGGAAAATTACTTTTAATTCTTTCAAGCCCTCAAAAAACAATACACGAAGCTCGTCAAAAAATTCAAGATGCTAAAAGATTGAAAGCATGGGCTGAAAACGCTCTTGAGATAAATGAAGCATACGCTGGAATAATTAAACCAGACTTCACAGGATATCATCATAAAGGAGTATATATGTCTGCGTATTCATCAGAAGCTATGCATGCATTTTCAATATTGGCATATTTTTTGCGGAATACATCATTTTCAATATCAGATCAAAGTCTTTACTATTTGACTGAGGCACTTAAAACTATACACTTGATGTCTAATTCACTGACTATTCCACTGGGAGTATCAGGAGCCAAACTTGCTAATAGTCTAGTTATGAATCAATTGATGCCGGCATATGCTTATATGTCATTATCCAAAAGTAATACATCTATTGACAAAAGCATGGCATCAATCTTTTTGAAACTTTACGACAAAAAAAATCCATTTATTGAGTATGCTCTTGAAAAAGGTTAACATTTACACTTACAACACGTGTGCGGTAACATAATATTTATTAAAAAATATTTTTTTACTTTATTTTTTAGTTAAGTCCTTTATTGGAAGCCATTGCTAAACTGAAACCGTATTATAAGTTTTATTTTTCTGTATGCTCTTAATGGCTTCATTATTGAATTAAAAACTGCTTGTAATTGCTGTTCCTAAAAAAAAAATTATAAAGATTTTCAGTTTAATAACAACTTAACCTATGTGAAAATATTACTTATTTTTAATAAAGAAATAGTTACCGCACGTAAAGTGTTAACTTAAATTATATATATATATATATATATATATATATATATATATATATATATATATATATATATATATATATATATATATATATATATATATATATATATATATATATATATATATGTATATATATATATTTATATATATTCATATATATATATATATATATATATATATATATATATATATATATATATATTATATATTTTTATATATATTCATATATATATATATATATATATATATACATACATATATTATATATATTTATATATATATATTCATATATATATATGTGTGTGTGTTTACTTATATATATATATATATATATATATATATATATATATATATATATATATATATATATATATATATATATATATATTATCTATATTTTTATATATATTATCTATTTTTTTATATATATTCATATATATTTTTTTATATATAAAGCTGCGAGCTCTAGTAACATTAGAACTTCTTAAGACTTGCTTTAAAACTGTTGAAAGTTAGAGAATTGATTACTTTATCTGGTAACATGTTCCATGCATTGACAATGCAATTGTTAAAAAAGTGGAAGCGAGCTAAATGGTTGTTGTACTTTTCACGTGAAGTCTTTCTCTGTGATTTGTTCTTGGTGGAATTGTGATGAGGGGAAAGTGCTAGTTGATTGTGTCAATGTTATTAACAATTTTGTATTTTTGGACGAGGTCACCTCGTTTGCGACGTTAAACAAGAGTAGATAGGCCAAGTTGTAAACATCTGGACTTGAAGTCTAACTTTTTCATTTTGTGTGGTATTTTTGTGACTTTGCGCTGAATTAGCTCAATAGTTTGTTCATCCTTCACCAAATGAGGGTTCCAAGCTGGAATTGCAAACTCAACGTAGGTGGAGTAAAGTTGTTTCCATATAAAAGCATCACGAGACTGGAAAGTGTGTTTTAGGATGCCTAGCCTTTTATTTGCTTCACATGAGGCAATGATGGATTGGGTTTCTAGTTTAAGGTTATTGGTAATTTGAATTCCCAAGTCACGCTCAGAGGTCGTTGCTTCCAATGTAGTTCGAGTCGTTATTGAACGGAGGGCATATTTCCTCCATTGAGTACTTGAAAGGAGTTAATTTTTTGGCCAAAGTGCATGACCTTGCATTTCTTTGCATTTAGCTCCATGAGCCAAGACTTAGTCCAATGAACAATTTGGTCAATATCTGATTGGAGTTGAAGTTGAGCCGCAAGTGAGTTGACAATGCTCAGAATTTTAGTGTCATCAGCGTAGATCTTACAAATGTTTTCTTTGCTTATTACATCTGGCAGATCAATGATGAAAATGCCATGTTGACTATTTGGTAGAGGAGTGTTTGATTTTAGATGCTGCATGATTGCTTTCTTAACTAGTTTCTCCATTATTTTACATGGAATCGAGGTGAGAGATATTGGTCTGTAGTTTGATGGGTCGATTCTGGAGCCCTTCTTAAGTAAAGGTGTTACATTTGCTTTGGACCATGAGTTTGGAATTTCACCATTGTCAAATGACTTTTGAAAGATGAGAGTAGACATTGAGGTAAAACAAAAGCATAAAATGTGATGACTGACATTGTTTACACCAAGTGATTTAGATACATCTAGTGATGAGAGTTCCATTAGAGTGGCCTGAGCGTCAAAAGTTATGTGGTTGAGGATTGTGTTAGTTCTACGATCAAAATAGGGAAGATTGCCATTGGATGGCTCTTTGCTAAAAACTGCTTAAAACTGATTGTTAAGCAAGTTAGCTATTTTAATTTTGTTAGAGGTAATGATTTCACTTGAACTGGTGGTTCGCATAGATGAGATCTGATTTATTACAGAGCGTTTACTATTTTTATATGAAAATAGTCTTTTAGGGTTGCGCTTATCATTTGAAAGAGCAAATTTGAAAGATTTCAGGGAAGAACAGTTTAATTTTTTAACAAATTTTTCAGTTTCTCTATATTCTTTAACCAAGGATGCGGTTTTCCGTTTTGAACTGACGTTACGACCCCACAGTAATTTTTTAAGACGAATCAGGAATAAAAGTTCTGTTGTCATCCATGGTTGTTTATTTGGGGATGGTTTTTTCGGCATGCGAGGGATGAATTGAAAACAACATTCATTGTATTTGTTCAGTCATATTTGGTAACATTATTCTACGCTTAAATCTTTAAAAATAGATGACCAGTCAATCTTATTAAATTCTTTGTTGATTTTTTCGTAGTTACCGAGGTTGTAAATAAATTTAGAGCTGTTAAAATGCGATAATTTTCCAGTGGAAGCCAGTTTGTATTGCCAGGTGATAGAGCAATGATATTGATCATACAAACCGAGTGGAGGACCAATGTTGACTTTGTTAGCACGATATGGAGAGTCACATATTATGAGATCAAGAGTGTTTGTCATTGGACGATTAGCAGGTTTGAAAGCAGGGACAGTGACGATTTGGTAAAGATGACAATCTTAAAGAAAAGAGACAAATGAAGAACTGAGACCAATTTTACTAGAGGAGAAGACTGAATTGGAAGTCCAAGTAATCTCTGGGAAATTGAAATCAAAAGCAATGATCATACAACTCTATTTTTTGGTCAATACTGATGTTTCGGCATGGAAAATAGCATTTGAAATCTCTGAGAAGGCTTCGATACCAGAAGATGGAGGTCTATAAATGCAATCTAAAAGCTGAGTTTCATTCAGAAACTTTAGCTCGACCCATAATTGTTCTGAATTGTAACAAATAAAATTTTTGTGTAGCAGGGATTTTTGTAGTTAGTTTGAGATGATTTTATTGTTTGTGTATATAGCTACACCTCCTCCGATTTGGTTTAGACGGTCTAAACGATAGAGATTGTAGTTTGGAAGAAAGGGAGTTGATTGGTCGTTAAACCATGTCTCAGTTATAAAAATAATGTCAAAGGAGTTGTTTTCTGCAAGTAAGGAGAGTTCAATGAGTTATATTGGATTGAGGGAGGTGCATTAGTGTAAAAGCATGAAAGATTAGATAATTTAATGGAAGAACTGGCCTTGTTTAAAAATGTTGAACTAGTAAAATGCTAAGAGCGATTGAATGGCCTCAGCTGCTGATTTCCATTTGAGGTATGGGTTCCTCTCTCTTCCGGATGACAAATCGAAAGGGTTTGTCAAGTAAATCTTTTGCCAAAAGTTCTGCATTTTAGGAAGCACGCTTTTTGTTAAAGTTGTTGAATGTTTTTTGTTCAAGAGATATACGGTCTGGACAAATATAGACAGATTTTAATTCATCTATTGAGGCAAGTTGTTTTGCATTAGATAATAGATCATTGCGGTATGTATGATGTATATATATATATATATATATATATATATATATATATATATATATATATATATATATATATATATATATATATATATATATATATATATATATATATATATATATATATATATATTCATATATATATATATATATATATATATATATATATATATATATATATATATATATACATCATACATATATATATACATATATATATATATGTATATATATGCATATATATATATATATATATATATATATATATATATATATATATGCATATATATATATATATATATATATATATATATATATATATATCTATATATGTATATAAGTATATATATATATATATATATATATATATATATATATATATATATATATATATATATATATATATATATATATATATATATATATATATATATATATATATATATATATATATATAATATACAATAATATAATGTACCCAGCAAGCACATTTACGTAGGCCCAATGTAGGTAAAACCATTGCGAACGTTGGCTGTTTTTTCCAATGCAAAACCAACGTTGGTCAAATGTTATTTGTTTAATGATGAAATTAACACCGACGACGATGAAATTAACACGAACTAAAAACAGCTGACACATTTACATTTGTCCAACATGTGTAAAAACATTGCAAAAAATTGATTGTTTTTACAATGTAAACCCAACGTTGATCTAATGTTATTAATCCAACCTTGATTTAACATGTATCAACCAACTTTGAATTAATGTATGTATAAACATCGCAAAAAGTTGATTGTTTTTACGATATAAATCCAACGTTTATCCATTGAATATAACCCAACTTTGATTCAATATATTTAAATCAACGTTGATCCAATGTATATAAAAGTATCGCAAAAGTTTGATTTTTTTTACGATCTAAATCAAGTTGTATAAATTATGAGAATTAATCTTCATTCAAATATTTCAGTTGATTATGGAAACAAATTTTGTCAATTTATTTTTTTCTTTTTTCATAAAATATCAAGCCACAAGCAAAACAAACATAAATGATGCTTGTTTAATCAGATGCAATATAATAAGTGTAAACATGTCATGAGCAATGTTAATTCATCGTCAAAATGGCGGAAATATGTATGGTTGTTGGAGATGTCGCAATTGTAACCAAACTGATATAAAAACAATGTTGGCGGTCTATTTTGGGCCAACGCAATGCACAACATTGTTCTAACTTTTTATCAACGTATGTGTGTTAGCTGGGTATATAACCACTAATCAAGCTTTTTTTTAAAAAAAAAAAAAAAGAAGTTAATAACAAAAAACCTTGTGTTTTAACCTTGTTTAAAATGGAACCTTATTATAAAAACCAGTATAACAACATTGTTTCACACAAAGGCGAATAAAAGATTTATACAGAAAGAAATTATAAATAAGAAAATAGCTCGAAGCACATTAGCATTAATCCAAAGTAAAGCAATTAGCAGAAAAAGCACTTTGCTTTGGATTGTGTATTTAATTTCGATGAGAGGTCATTGTAAAAGATAATCCAAAAAGATGTAATGTACAGACTCAGTAGAATTTCTGCCATTCACTAATATAGGAATATTAACAAAATTGTGATAGTTGTTAGGAGTAAACTATTTTTTGTTTGAGATATACCAGCCACTGCAAGCCACAAGCTGTCATAGAATAGATATCAAACTTAAGACGCCGGTCTGTTTTAAGAAATTAAAAATTGAAACTTATTTGATAAAACTGAAGTGTATAGTTACGTCATCAAAAGTTACTTTAGTGGTCAAATAATAAATCATTAAGATCATTAGATAATAAACAACGTTGAGATAATAAACAACGTTGGACAAAAAGTGGAACCTTGAGGTGTCCCCAAAAAATTCAAGGAATGATAGTGGTTTCCATTGTAGACAACTTTAATGCTGCAGTTGGAATGAAATCAATAATAAAACTTTTTCTGATACGTAATATGAAACGAAGAAAATCAGCATGCAAGACTTTATCAAAAGTGTTTTGTGATGTACAATATAATTTTTTTTATTAACAACTAGTCAGTCAACAGTAAGTTTAAGTTAATAGAAATAACTTTAGCAATTTAAACAAGATTGATTTGGATGTCTAACGATGGATTAAGCTGTTTCTTTGGGATTACAGATAGAGTGTAATCATATGGTTCATGAAAAAAATTAGAGAAAAAGTTCTTTGCAATTAGTTTTACAGTATCTTTGGAAATATAATTAGATCAGATCCATGTTTAAAAATTTTATGTTGCATTTAATGACGATATCAAAAGTTTTCCAAAAGTCTCAACAATCTAACTTTAAAATAAAATACGAGATTTAGTAATGTGTTAACAGTAGATAATTAGCAGCAGATAGCCCTTTTCAACGTCAATATCTTGCAATGATAAAATAGCATTTGTTCTTCAATCAGTTGTCTTAAAAAAAAGATTTGAATAAAAATTGACATAAAAGAATAAAAGTTTCCATGCCTGCCCAAAATCCAAGAGATTTTAATGAAGGAGTAATTTTTAGCAGACTCTTTACAAATCAAAGATCATAGCCATTAAATCTCAAATCTATAGATAAAACAGCCGAACTCAGGGCAAGTAAGTCCGATAAGTTTTATAAAAAGAATGAATCACATTTTTTAAATTCCAACATTTCGGAAACATTAGGCTTACATATAATTTCTATAAATTTCTGTATTTTTGAGTACATGTTGATTTATTTTTTAAAATCTTTTTTTACTAATATAATAAATAATAAAATAAGAACTTGGTTATACTTACTTTTTAAAAAGGTAAATAAAATGACTAAAGTTCTTTCAAACCAAAGTTTTTTTATTTTTCTTAGCACTGCTCATTTTTGGAGGTTTTCAGTTGAAATTATTTTTACCTCAGATTTTTTTCCACTATTTCCATTAGGTAGATATGAGATCGGAGGCGTCAATATAAGGTCCATAGGGTCCATAGGGCAACCTATACAAAAATTAAAAGTCAACAATTTTATTAAAGAATAGCAGAAATAGATAAAAAAAAATAGAGGGAACTAATTTAAAAACCGGTTTAAAAAAATGGTAAAAATTACGATTAACAGACGACTTAAAAAATTGCAAATTATACGAATCAGAAAAACAAGATGAATGGAGCTAATTCCAAAGAACTGATGTTCAAAGAAAAAAAATAGAAGAATAAGAATTTCTGAATGAGATATAATTGAATGACGAGTAACACGTGAATGAATTTTTGTAAATAACACAAGAGACGCTAGCTCTTTAAAGCAATGACCATTATAGTACTTATAAAAAAGAGAAATAGAAGCAACATGTGATAACGGTTGAAGATTAGCTGCATGAAGTTTAAATGCGTTTTTGCACCTTGTTTAAAAAAAAAAAAGCAAAAATTTGAAGATCCACTTCTGATATGGCAATAATATTTTATAAAAAGGCAGGTTTTAGATTTCTAGAGATAAAGAACTTTTTGACACTTTGACATTTTTCTCAGACACCACAAAACTTTTCAGTGTCATATTTAGCTTTTTATGCGCTGCTTCGAGGTTTGTTCTGATAAAACACCAAGCAGAATATTCTACCCATCAAGATATTTCTTGAGATGAAAAATGAATAAGTGAAGTAAATTCAATGAACATGAATTAGTGAAGCAAATTCAATTAACATAAATAAGTGAAGCTTTCATTCAAGTAATTTCTTTTTTGCAAATAGATCATAGACATATAATTTATAAAAACTCAAGCAAGGACTTCAAAAACGTACCTGTTTTCTTTTTTTATGATATATCAAGTTTTGTTCCAAAACACCATACACCAAGGTGGTATGGAGTGACATTTCGTGAAAACATCTAAAAACTTTGACACACTTGTGTCAAAATATGGTGTTCATAAATATGTTATTCGTAAATATTTGGTTTTCATAAAATGGTGTTCAGGTGGCGGAATCATGTTAATAATTTCCACTATCAACTTTGTGTCTAACAGACATAAGTTAATAAAGAGGTTGAGATTTTTATTTGGAACAATTGGAAGTTAAATGTTTTTTTTGCCACTGAATGTGGCAGAAACTTTTTAAAATACACAAAAATAACTATTCAAACACTCAACGTTTGAACAGTTATTTTTTTGTTGTTGCTAGGACCAACTATTTTTTACAGTTTCTTTATAAGTGCATTAAGAAAAAACAAGTTTTTGAACACTAGCCCAAGCAGTACATTAGTTTGGACTTAATGATAGCCCTTCCTTTCTCTTTCAAATACTGTTTCAAATATATATATATATATTATATATATATATATATATATATGTGTGTGTATAATTATGCGCATATTAATGAATATTATTGTTCAGGCTATCAACAGTCGCATAATATTTCTTTAATAAATTTTATGTTGCTTTTTTCTCATTGCAAAAAATTTGTATAAAACTCATTTTTAAGTTCGTTCTCTCAAAATTTATGTAATGCAGTGTCTTAGATATGCTGACTTACCTTCTAATTGTGACAAGTATACACTTCTAAGAAATAAATTTAAATTTAAGATATAAATTTCTAAAGAATTTGCTTGGTTCTTTTGAATTGTTTTATTTATTCTTCTTAATTACTTTCTTATTAATTGCCTTACCTTGTTCTAAAATAACGTTGTTTTCAATAGTTGAAAACATGTTTTAAACATTTCCACATCTCTTTAACATGTTTCTTTTTATGAGAAGGCAGAAATGATGAACTCCCAGCTCTTCTCAATAAAATTCATTCAAATTGTTTATTTTTTTTTTAATTTAACTTTGGTTTATTTATTTTTTTTAACGCATGAGGCTACACGTATAAAAATATAATTATTGTTTACGTAATTCTCTAAACACACGATATATTTAAAACAACATTCAGTAAACACACGATGTTATGTAAATACATAATTGACTTGTATTAACTATGTTTTTTTTTTATGTCTAGTGATAAAAATTCTTTTTATATATAGGAGATATTGATCAATCTTCTAGATACTTTAACTCAATTGGTAGTGTTAGTATAATGAAGAATCTTCAGCAAAAAGCAACTTTAGAAAATATTAAATCAATAAAAACTCCTCGTGGTCATTGGTTTTTCAGTTTTGCATCATTATCATTGCACCGCCGTAAAAATTGGAGTGTAACAGTCAAGGGTTTTAGCAAATACACTTGGGATTTTGAATCTTTGATTAATCAAAACGTTTACGGAAGGTTTTTAAGTCATGGCCATATCAGTATAATAAACGGAGTAAGTTCTTTACCTGATATTTTTAACGGATGGGATTGGAATCGTATTCCAGGAACAACTACAATAGAGTTAGAATTGCCAGAATTAATCTCCCACGGCGAAAGCAGATATTTTACAAGCAAAACAACAGTAGGGGGTTCTCCATTCGGAAAAAAAAAATCTGAGCATGGCGTTTTTGTCATGGATTTTGAGCAGCCTCGATATCAAAGTACTTTTTATAAGCAGAATCCAAACACCTTTTCGTTTAAAAAATCGTTTTATTTTATTGACGATATTATTATTTGTCTCGGATCAAACATTCAACAAAATGGTATTAAAAATCGAAACGTTATTACTACATTGTTTCAAGAAAGGCTTTATGGAGAGAGCTTTATTAAATTAAATGGAGAGAACTGCAGTTATCCAAGTAATCGTATTGTTAATGGATCAGCATATTTTTTAGACGGACAAAATAACGGATATGTTATTCCAAGAACAAGTTCAAATTTGTTGCATTTAAAAATTGGTTTAAATAACAATACAAGAAAAAGAAACGGAGAAAAAGTCAGTGATCCAAAGGTATACGCTTCACTAATCATTCAACATGGAGTAGAGCCAGTTAATGCATCATACGAATATGTTATTCAAATTGCGACCAATGAAAAACGCGTTCATTTGTTAGCAGAAACAATAAACCAGGTTTATAAAGTCATACAAAAAGATAGCGTGGCTCATGTTGTTCATTTTATTCAATCGTCGACTACATCTTATGTCATTTTTGATGCACTAAACTTTGTAGGAAATGAATCATCAGATTTTGTTTACAAAGTTAACCGAGCCAGTATTGTTACAGTTATTGATGAAGGCAAATTTTTTATTATTTCAGTGATGGATCCAGATTTGCGTCGATTTGATAAACATATATCTAACTCAAAGAATATGAAACAAAAGATTTTTTACAGCTCTAGAAGTCAACCTGAGTGGTTAATTTTATCTCTGAATAAACATTTAAATTATGTTTCTGCAAAATGCCCTGCAAATTTGAAGAAAACAATCACGTTTTATAATGATTTTATATTATCAGGTAGCGTGAAGCCGCACGTTAAACTTCAACTGTCACATGGCCACACTTGTAAATTAAAATTTAAAAAACAATATTTGTGAAGGTGCTAAACTACCTCATGACTTTAATCTCATGCACTTACTAAATGAGAAACTTTTTAAGCTCACTGTCTAATCTGACAATAAAAGTTTTAACACAAGTATAACATTTTATTTTTGAAAGATATTTGCAACAAAATTAGCGATCGCTAGATAAATTTTTCACACATAAATAAGAATATACTTTGATTTAAAATTAAAAACGCTATGGATTTTAAATCGATCATTTATATTTTGTTAATAATTGCTATTAACAATTTGAGTTTTAATTACGGTATCTTAGGAACTAACGGTATAAGTATTATCTATGCTTCGTTAGTAGTTATTATTAGCAATTCAAGTATTTTATTTGACTCTTTTTCAATTATTGATTAATAGAAGATAAAAATATTGACCTGTTCAAAAAAAATTTTTTTAGCTTGAGTTAATAGAACCTTTCTTGCATTCCACAAATTATATTTGCAGTTTTAATATTATTATTAAACAAATTCAACCACACCAATCAGTGCTGAAAATTATTAAAATTACTTGAGATTTATAACTTAGTAATTAATAAGTTGTTTTTTGAACTTTTGATAACTTTGTCATAGCTATATATATATATATATATATATATATATATATATATATATATATATATATATATATATATATATATATATATATATATATATATATATATATATATATATATATATATATATATATATATATATATATATTCCTTTATTTCATAAGATTTTATTTCTTTATTTCATGAGATTTGAAATTCGACAACAGTTTACTAAAGTTTATTTTGTAACTGTAACATCAACAAGAGTCGTTTACGCATCCAACATTATGTTTGCTGTAACATAAACAACAATGACAGCATTTTTATGCATTTATAAGCTAGAATAAATGAAATAAAACAATCATTGTAACCATGAGCAATGAAACTGTTGTATAAAGTAAAAATTTGTTATTGTATAGCAGTACCGTAAGATTGGGTGGCTTTGGCTCTATGGGATAACTTCAGCCTAAGCAAAATTTTTGTTTAAAAATGGTTTAAAATTGATACCTCAAGGTATGTCGGTTTATATTTTGTGGCAAATTATGGTAAATTTATTATTTATTTAGCCTCACTTAGTTTACTTAACTCGAGTCTTTGTGATATTGTTGTAAATTGCACATAAAAAGAAGCAACTAAAATTTGAATTTTTTTAGGTTTGTAAACTTTTACATCAATAGCAGTACCTAGAGAAGATTTTCTACTGGAATATACACTGAATTAATTTTAAACCATTAGTGTTTGATTCTATCTTGTTTTGAAAGCTTAACAGTTTATTAATTTTTTTCAATTAAGGTTAAAAAAAATAGGTTGTCTTTTGCCCACTACATACAGTGACATTGGCCCGGGTTAAAGTCACCCCATGTATTAGAGAGACCCTTTTTTAGTGATCATTTATAGATACTATGGTAGTTACTATGTTGCAATGATAAATTTTGTCGTAGTAAATAGTGCAACAGGAAATCAATATAATAGTTTGTATTGCTAAATCAGTATAAAAGGATAGTGAAATTTGTTTAGTTCTTAGTTTTAATATGCCACAAAATTACAAGCCAAATCGTGGAAGAAGAAAATATGTTACTTTAGAACAATTAGACAATGAGAAGAGAATGCATTAGACAATGGAAGAGAACAATTAGACAATGCATTAAAATGTTTAAAGAATGGTTTAATTACTCGAAGACAAGTATCTTTGAAATACGATATACCAAGATCAACATTAAAAAATAAAATAAAACAAACAAAAAAGTATGATAGTTAACAAATATTTACATCAAAAGAAGAAGACATGTTCAAAGCATATGCAATAAAATTATCTGCGTTTGGTTTTCCTGTTGATAAATATGATTTAAGATGCATAACAAAAGGGGATTTAGAGAAAAAAGGTGTCATACCTCAGTTCAAAAATAATTTTCCAGGTGGTGATTGGATTCGATCTTTTTTAAAAAAAAATCCAGAACTCACAGTAAGATTTGCAAGCAATTTAAAGCGAAAGAGAGCAGAAATAAGAACAACTGTGATTGATAATTACTTAATAAATCTATCAAATGAAATAAGTAATATATCACCTGATCATATATGGAATTATGATAAAACCAATCTCAGTGATGATCCAGGTAAAAATATATATTAATAAAGCGTGGATGTAAGTATTCTGAACGCACCATTAATTCTACAAAGACCTCATTCTTTGTAATATTTTTTGGTAATGCTAATGTTGAATTGCTACCACCTTATGTTATTTACAAATCTGAGTCGTAATGGAATACATGGGCCACCAAAGCACTTTATAACAGATCAAAAAGTGGTTGATTAAACTCAACATATTTTGAGGACTTGTTTTTCTTTTTACTTCTTCCAATACTTAAGAAGGTTCAAGGAAGAAGTGTCATTATAGGTGATAACGTATCTTCACATTTGAGCATGGAAGTACTGGATGCATGTCAAAGCAATAACATTGGATTTGTGGCATTACCAGCAAATTCTACACATCTCACGCAGCCATGAGAAAGGAAAAGGAAAGAGAGTTGCTTCTCTTCCTAAAGATAAACTTCCTAAACTTTTAGACTGTTTAACTGTTAACTTAAATAAACATGGGAATGATAACCTTAGAGCTAGTTTTCGCAAAACTGGAATTTTTTCATTAGACAAGTATTAAGTGCTGTCACGACTACCATATTGTAATTTAGGTTTAGACTTAACTACTGATTAACTTTACTGATTTTTAGATCATTTATGTAAGTCACTAGATGATCCCTCAGATGGTTCTAAAAAACAAAAGCGACATAATGTATGTGCTGCCCCTAGTAAAAGCTTATGTTCAACAGATATATCATCTTGTGTTATAAATGAAAATAATAGATTAAATACAAATAATGTAGATACACCTAACAGAATTATAAATACAATTGAGACCAACAACATTGAATTTGCTGGCTTAACTACAAATACTGGAACTACTGAGACTTTTAATCTAATTTTTGCGGATGTAAGTTTAATCGTAGAAAGTCATACAGAATCTTTAGATCATTCAGCATTAAGCAAAAAGAAATTTCAAAATATTGATAAAACAAAAAATGTTTGTAAAAAGTTTTCCCCAGTCTGAAATAGTTGATTTTAATGAGGAACCACAGAAAATTTCCAAAAGAGGAATTTACTAAGTTCCAGAACTTTTTCACTAAATTTTTCAAAACTTTATTTTCGTCACTTTTGTTTACTTTATACCTAAACTGTTTTGTTTACTTAGTACCTATACTTGTTTAGTTTGTACGTATATTTTATTTACTGTATACAAGAACTTTGTTACTAAATCTTTTTTTGTCACTTTATTTTTGTAAATTTATTTTCTTTGCTTATATATTGTTGTTTTTATTGTTGTTTTAGCTTCCTTTAGTCTTTTTTTACTGGGTTGGGCCAAAGTCAGTCTAACACACAGGGCAACTTTGGCCCACCATTTACACCAAACAAAAGATACTTCAGGTAAATAATAATCAAATGGGAGAGAGATAGTTCTAACTATCCTTTCTATGCAATTCTAAAAGTACTTAGTGCTTAATGAAATAATTTTCGTGGCTTTTGTGCAATAGACGTTAAGATGCAAAATGGACCAAAGCCACCCAATCTTACTGATTGTACTGGAGTTTTTTTTTTGCAGAAAAAGGTTTACCAAAAATTAAAAAAAAATTTTGTATTTTGATTTTTCATAAGTAAATGGTTAAAATTAGTAAAAGATGTTTTACTAAAAAAAAAAAATACTTATTAAAGTTAAGAATGATAGAAAGAATAATAGAAAGAATGATAGAAAGAATGATAGAAAGAATGATAGAAAGAATGATAAAAAGAATGATAGAAAGAATGATAAAAAGAATGATAAAAAGAATGATAGAAAGAATAATAGAAAGAATGATAGAAAGAATGATAGAAAGAATGATAGAAAGAATGATAAAAAGAATGATAGAAAGAATGATAAAAAGAATGATAAAAAGAATGATAGAAAGAATAATAGAAAGAATGATAGAAAGAATAATAGAAAGAATGATAGAAAAAATGATAGAAAGAATGATAGAAAGAATAGTAGAAAAAATGGTAGAAAGAATGATAGAAAGAATTATAGAAGCTAAAAATTTATAAAGCTAATAACATGAAGACAAAGATTACGTAATAATGTTTATATACCTAATAATAGTTTAATAGTTTTCATTAGTGTAACTAATAATATGGCCAACCGCTGCCCAAATAACGTAATATAGCACATGAGTTAAAATAATTATATATATATATATATATATATATATATATATATATATATATATATATATATATATATATATATATATATATATATATATATATATATATATATTTGCATTTGAAAATAGTACAGACAGGAAGTTGACTCACTTCCTGACCACAAAGTTAATTTTCACTATGTGGTCCGGAGGTGAGTTTTGCTTTAAAAAATTGTATCATTAGTGTATTTATTTTGTGGAGTAAGTTTTTAAATTAATCATTAGTGTATTTATTTTGTGGAGTAAGTTTTTTTTGAATAATTTTTTGTCAAATATTTTGAATTATTCCAGTATGCCTCCTCCCCATCCTTGGCGCCTTCCTCTACGCTACAATATTATTAACATATGCTATATATAAACATTATCGCTTCATGTGCAATTTCATGATCCTTTAATTTCTGAAAATGTAATTAAAGCATTATGTATATCACAAACTTGATAGCAAATGGCTTGGACACTTTTTTTTTTACTAAAGCGTGTCACAGAACTTTGGGAAAACACATACATATACTATATAATTTTTAATAACAATGTAGTTTCATGCATTAATGGGGATTGTCGCATTAAGTTATTTAAAAATAATATCAACTTGTATTAATCGCAAAACGATTATAACAACATTGATCTTTTAAATACTAAAAAAAAATCTCTGCATGGTCTAATGATTGGCAACTCAAAATAGCAACCAACAAATGCTTTCATTTATGAGACATTTTAATAGACACTAATTAGACACGTCCTTTAATCAGTACTTTCGTACTTCAAATACAGCATTAAGGTTGGCCAGAAAAAGGCTTTTGTATAGCATATTTTTGTATTAACCTACTTTTAAAACTTTTCATCACTAACCAAAGGCGCGAACTATGACTGCAAATCCTACCGGTAAGAGAAGAATGAGGGGTGCTTTAAGGGTGGAAAGGGTTAGAAATGGGTTGGAATGAGGGTATTTTAACTTATTTAAGTTACAATATTCATCCATATAAAGACTTTTTTCAGTTTGAGTATGAATAAATAAAATAATGGTGCACTTCAAAAGTTCAATACTCATTCAGGCTCATTCATTAATTTATATCTTTCTCAGCTGTACAACTCAATAGTAAAATGATTGCAGATATATATATATATATATATATATATATATATATATATATATATATATATATATATATATATATATATATATATATATACTTAATGCTACAATCTCCATCAATGCATAAAATTACATCGTTATTAAAAATTAAGAATAATGTTGGTTTTATGTACAGTCCTGTAGCACTCAATGCTTTAATACCACAGTTTGTATTTAATACCACAGTTTTGCAATTTGAAGAGTAGTTTAAGATAAGTTATAGAGTCCTATGCTTTTTCAAAATCAATACAAATGACGATAACTATCTTTTTTTTTTTTTTTTTTCAATTTTTACTTAGGTGCCCCAAGAAGTCATTATGTTCTTGTCACTGAGCACCGTGGAAGTGCATTCAGGAAGTTCACGCCTCCTTCCATACCGTGATGCGAAACATGTCCAAAGCTCGTTTCGAACCTCGATCTCCTGCTTATTAAGCAAGCGCTCTAACCACAGCGCCACGTTCTCTAAATCTATCATTCACTAATATTCGTGGTCTATGAAGTAACTTTTCTTCTGTTGAGTCTTATATCTTGCAATGTTCACCGACCTACTTGCTCTTTGTGATAATAATTTGAGTTCAGCTGTCTCATCTTATGATCTTAGTGTTGATGGTTATCTTACTTTAATTCGTAAAAACTCTAATAGTCACATGCTTGGCCTGGGTATTTACTTTATGCTTATCACACTGAATGACTTGGTTCTAGTATTAGTGACTCTGTAGGCATTAAGGCCTACAATCTTTGCTTTTCTCAATCTCTAACATAAATAGTCAACTTTCTAACTCGCTTTCTATACAATCCGAATCATTTACTTTCTTTCTTCTTATCTTAGCTTCTGATCACGGTTTGATCTCTCTTAAACTATTATCTCATTCTTCTTCGTTATCTTAATCCGCTTATGATTGTACCTATTTTAACTACTTTTAAGCTGACTGGGACTCTTTCCGTGATTTTCTTAGTAATGAAAAATCTTTCATCTTCCTGCTAACAAATGTGCTTCTTATGCAACTTCTTAGATTTAGACTGGCATGTAATCCTTTATTCCCTCTCGACGGTTTCAAGTCTAGCCTCACACTTTTTCAGGGCTTTCCTTTCATTGTGCTGCTGTAGTTTCTAATCGTAACCATTACTTACATATCTAACAGCAAAATAAATCTCTAGAAAACAGACGTCTGTTTATTACTGATAGAAACAATTGTAAAAAAGTTTCGTCTAACGCCAAAGCCCGCTATTCTCAGGTCATGAAATCTTGTATTTCATCTCAAAAATTAGGCTCTCATGACTTCTGGAGAATCTTTAACAGTATCTATAACAATGGCAAATCCGTTATTTCACCTTTCTTGTATGTTTCAGAATTTGTCACCTTACCTAAAGACAAAGCTGAATTGTTTGCTAAGAACTTCTTATCAGTATCACCTCTTGATTTCACTAGTCGCGTTCTATCTAATATAGCTGAGAAACGGGTTAATTGATTGCTTGAACTTTATATCACTCCAGCTTCAGTATCTAAAGTGATTTCCTGCTTAGACTTTTCTACGGCTTGTGGTCTGGACAACATACCTGTTATAGTCTTGCAGAAGTGTTCTTAGGATCTGTCGTCTATACTTTTAAAACTATTTAAGAAATGCTTATCAGAGTCTTGTTTTGTTTGCTCCAGTCTACTGGAAAGCGGCAGCTGTTATCCCTATTTTAAAAAGTTCTGGCTAGCGATCTGACTTGTCTAAATACCGTCTCATTAGTCTTCTTACTATTAAAGGAAAGTTTTTGAGTCTTTAATTAACAAACACTTAATCTCTCATTATGAATCTAATAACTTACTTTGATCATCAATATGGATTTTGAACTTCTATTTCTACTGCTGTTTTGTTAACGGTAATAACAGATAAGTTTTATCGTTGGTTTTTAGCTGTTGATACGACCATTTATTTTTCATAAATGGTAGTATCACTATTATTATTTAGCCAACACTTTTGATTGCTTGGTGGGGGAATTTGAGCTTAAAAAAAATCTTTTTAAGCTCAAATTTCTATTCAAATTGGAATTAGCGCGAAATCTCACTTCTGCTACAGCATGGGGCTGTCAGTGGCTGGTGAACTTTAACTCAGATGAAACCCAATTTTTTCAGCTAATCGTTATCGTAATAACCTAGATCATTCTATATTTATGAACGGTATTGTACTCGATGAGTCATGTACCTTTCATCTTTTAGAATTAACTCTTATTTCCGATCTTTCCTGGATATCAAACTGATTGCAAAATCAGCATTTGCTAAGGTTGCATCTCTTTATCGTGCTCGCCACTTTTTTACTCAAAATTATTTTCTTTATCTCTACAAAACTCAAATCCGTCCTTGTATAGAATACTGTTGCTGTAACTGGAGTGCATTTTCCAATAACGCTTTTTGTTATTTTGATTAGGTGATAAGGCATTGTAAACAAAACAAGCTCTAACCATTATTACAACGCATTATTGTTGCTTCTCTTTCCAATTTCTATTAATATTATAATGAACACCGCTCTAAAAAGCTAGGGTCTTTTTCGCCATCTAATAAAGTTCATTCTCGTATTACTTGTCATTCAATGTCAATCAAGTCTCGTACTTTTACTATGACTGTTTCTAAAAGCTCCAAAAATTCTTATTTATCTAGTTTTTTTCCTCGAACATCAGTCCTTTGGAATTGACTTTCTTCATCTTGTTTTCCTGATTCATATAATTTGCAATCTTGTTGTATGTTAACCGTTAACTTGCTCTTCATCTTTTCTCTTGCTGTAACTTTTCAATAGTAGTTGCCAGTGCCGAATCAAGGAGGATGGAGGGGAGACTAGGGGGACTACATTTTGGAGGACCTTTTTTATTTTTATAGTCATTTTAAGGCTCTGGCCCGTAAAACAAAACAAAAATAGCTCCGGGCCCCAAGAAGTCTTTATCCGCCACTGGTGGTTGCTGGAAGTTAAGATGTTGAAAAATAAAAATAAAAATTTTTGTTTTTGTGACATAACGTTTTGCCTCATATAATCGAAGAGTTTTTTAAAATAGTATGTTTAATACTAGTTCTGCAATTTTCTGAGTTTTTTTTTTTTTTTTTTTGCCTTACGTAGTCAACTAAAAAGCCCTTTGAAAACATATTTTACAATATAAACGACGTTATATCTCAAAAGCTTTTTTTAACTCGAACCAAATATGTTTTCCTAATGATTTTGGAAGTTCGAGTCGTTAAAAGAAACACAAAATATTAACTCGCTTAAATTTTCGCGGGAACTTTTATTAGTGAATGTGTAAAACAGCTCAAAATTTTTTTCCCATTCATTTCCAAAATTATATTAACTTTTTTTTAATACTAATTTTGATTTTCTATTTGAATACATTTCGTCGTTTTTCCAATAAAAAAAGCATTACAGCTTTGTTGCACTGTTAGTCAAATGACTCAATATTTAAGCAATAGAATTTACTAACATCAAAATTTGTATTACCTTTCTCACGCTTATCATTAATAAGGGTGAGAAAAGTAATGCAAATTTTGATGTAACTAAATTCTGTTGCTTAAATGTTGAGTCATTTGACCAACAGTACTAATAAGCTGGAATGCTTGTTCTATTGTTCAAACGACTAAATATATATTTATATAGAAAATTGATAATATTAACAAACTAGCTAATCTGTTTTAAGATTTTTAGTACACTTTGGTCTGCTTCTTTTTTCAAGCTCATAATCAAAGAGGGACTTTATAAAAGATTTATTACACAAATACCAAATCTTTAGGTAAGTTATTATCACATCGCTTTTTTAAGTAATTTCTTTTTTTATAAATCAAACGCACTTTATTGTTTGTTTTTAAAATTCAGTTTCTTATTTGTCGTGTAAATGTTGTAAAAACTTTCTCTTTCATAAAGTTTATTATTTTATGTTATGAGATAAAATATGTTATTATAAAATAAATAAATTTAATTTGTGTATACAAAAAGAATACAAATATTATTTGAAATAAAAGTAGAACAATAGAATATATTATTAAATGTAAAATATAATTTTCTGCATTGTTTTTGTTTTGTTTTTTGACAAAGTGTATTTTGTCAGCATACAAGATAAGCTGATAAGTTTAGGTTTTGAGTGAATTTTTAAGTACAGTGCAACTCTACTTAATTTCTTCAAATCTGAACCTTTTGTAAAGTATCCAAACTGATATTGTAAGTTTATCTTAGATACAGATAATGGCTGTTCCAAATGACATGAAAAGTATCATGGACATTTTTCAAAAACTTGAAAAAATTGGAGAAGGGACATATGGTGTTGTATACAAAGCAAAAAATAAACAAACTGGAAAAGTAATCGCCCTGAAAAAAATACGCCTTGATACGTAAGTGTTTTATTTAACAAGAAAAAAAATCAAAACAGTTTAGGGTTAAAAATTTGTCTTTTTTTATAGAACAGTTTCATTTTTTTTTATCTCATTCTTTATAAAATATATTAGTATAAGAAATTAAAAGACTTCAATAAGTTTACTATAATATTTTAGGAGTATAAATATAAGCAAATTTTAATCAAACCCAAAGCAGTTATTAATGAAACTAAATATAATTTGGCCCATATCTAGATAACAATGAATTGTTTTAACTTATCTACAAGCTACAGTTGTATATAATCTAGTTTATAAAATCAAAAAAAATCTTTTTAAAAAAGTACTAAGCATAAAGATAATTTTACTAAAGTTAAATGATAAAGCCAATTGCTTATATTCAGTTGTTGAAAATAACACTTTATGTGACTGGTTAGACCCTATATTATTGTTGGACTTTATAAATCTGACTTTTTAATTCTATGCTCTTTTGATATTAAAGACAAATCAAAAAGCATAAAAATCGTGTTTTGCTTTATATCCAAAATAGTATGGCAACCTCTGGCATATCAGTTTAATATGTCTGACTGGAAAATTTGAATATAGTAGCTTTCTTTCAGTTAAATTGTCTTGATTCATTTAAAGGCAATAATGTACAAACTGATTGCTTTAAAGTAAACTAAGTAATCGCAGATGAATAGCGTGATTTCAATGAAAGATTAAAAGAAGCCTGACTTATTTGATGTTTTAGAGCATGTGTATTTAGTGACAAAAGAACATTGTGTGATTGTGAGTTTTTAATTCTTTAAAAGCTTTTGATAATTAATAATAAAGATTGTTTATAATTCAAGTTATGGAATTTAGTGTATTCAGTGTAAAACCAAATGATAAAATCTTGTTTGAATAACAGGGTTTAAAATAAAAGGCTTTGAAAAGAGTTTAAAATGAAGTTCAAAATATAGTTTTAAATTAAGTAGTTTTACAAAATATAGTTTTACACCTAGTTTTAAATTCTGTTAAAAAGTTTAAATAGAAAAATTTGAGAGTATTCGTAAACTTTTTTTAAATTGTATCCAAGGGGCGCCAAATAAAATGTAGGTACCAAAAAAAAAAAAAAAAAGAGGTTCTTCATATATAATATAGGGAAATTTTTATAAATAAGGGTGCCAATCAGGATTGCTGTCCCAGGCAGCGTGACAGCTCTTGGCGGCCCTGGCCGAGTTGATGAATTTTTATTTCAAAATTGTAAGTAAAACTAAAATATTTTGTTAATTAAATAATTAAAAGTTAAAATATGAAATAAACTTTAATTTAAAACTTGAAAGAATTAGTTCTTGGATGGAGATTGAATTAGTTCTTGGATGGAGTTCTTGGATTCTTGAATTAGTTAAATAGAGATTGTATCTCTATTTAACTAATTCAAAAAGATTATCTTAATTATCTGGAAATGATCACTGAAAAATTATTTAATATATATTAAACTTAAGTAGAGTAATCATTTTGCATATGTATTGGTATTTATAAATTAATTTCCTACTAAGTCATAGTTATGTTTGATTATTAAACATTTTTAAAACTAATGCTGAAAAAATTGTTTTGTTAGTATTTCTTATTCTTTTTTTTTTTGTGTGTGAAAATAATGAAATATTTATAGAGATACAGAAGGAGTACCTAGTACTGCTATTAGAGAAATTGCATTACTACGAGAGCTAACTCATCCAAATATTGTTCAGTAAGTATTTTTAAAATTTATCAAATCTAATTTATTCAATTTTTTTGTTATATTTTTTATATATTTTGTTTCACAAATAAAACTACAATTTTTTTCAGCCAATCGTTATCGCAATAATTTAGATCTTCCTATATTTATGAACGGTAATGTACTTGATGAGTCATCTACCTTTCATCTACCTTTCTAGGATTAACAGAAATAAAAATAATTACAATTGTCATGAAAAAAATGATAGTAATTTAGTATTAGTCACACACATATACAGACACATGCAAATACACACATAAAAACACACATACACAATTACGTTCACAAATACATATAAACACATATACTTATATCCCCCTGTATTCAATACAGGTATGTATACATTAATTGTATACATACCTGTATTGAATATGGTATGTAATTTGGTTCAACCCCCCATATAGCAAATATGTTTCCACTAACATAGGAAAAGTATTTTTAAAATTGGTCGATAAGCATTTCCCTCCCTCTAAAAATTACATAAATTTTTTAATCGAAATATAATTAAAGTTAGCTACAGTTGCACAAAAAAAAATGGAAAGAATTATAAAAGGTCACAATAATGTTTTGTTAAATAAAAAAGAAATCCTAAATGAAAAAACGACAAAAAATTGTAGTTGTAAACAAAAAAGCAATTGTCCAATGAGTGGAAGTTGTTTATCAAAAAATGTAGTATATAAATGTGTTTCCTCTAAGAATATACCCGATGAACAATATATTGGCATAACAAGGGTGAATGGAAAAAACGTTTTGCGCATTATAAGCAATCTTTTAAAAATAAAAAAATATTCAAAAGACACCATGCTGTCAAAATATATATATAGGAACTAAAAGATAAAAATATTGATGATTTTATACTGAATTGGTCCATCTTTAAAATAGTGCCTGCATACAACAATATTTCCAAAAAATGCAAACTATGTCTACAAGAAAAATTTGAAATAAATACACATGCAAACCAAGAATGTTTGTTAAACAAAAAATCGAAATTGATTTCTAAATGCAGGCACGCAAATAAGTTTCTTCTAAAAAACTATAAAAATAAGTGAGCTCAAATAACAGTTACATTAAATCCTCCCTATTTTTATAAAAAGCATAAGTAATCATGTCTAAAGAATTCTTTTTATAATAGTGTCAGCAAATTCCACAAAGTATGAAAATTTACAGGAGTTAAAATGTTTGCAACTTCCTGTAATTTAATTTTTTGGTATAAATTGAAGTTTTATTAATTTGATCATTCATTTCTGATGAGTCTTTGTTGATGAAACAGTGTAAAATAAAAAAAAATTTGTTAAGTGATTTTCTATATATATATATATATATATATATATATATATATATATATATATATATATATATATATATATATATATATATATATATATATATATATATATATATATATATACCCATATAGTGTAGTCGAAAGAGCGTTTTAATGTAAAAAAAAGTCTCTTACGACTACAATTTTAATTACCTCGTCTCTTAAGCTGTTTTTGATTGTCATTGAAATGTCAAAGCAATTAATTTATGCGGAAGTACATTAAACTTAATTGTTTTTTAAAAATTTTTTAAAAAACCGCAATTATAACGACTAGAAAGTTTTTTTTAATTAGTGGTGTTTTTGTTATTGATTTAATAAAAAACATTTTTAAAACATGCCTAAATGTTGCTACATCGACTATCTTATAGCCTGACTCGCAACGGAGTGCTGCTACATCGACTGACAAATAGCCTGACTCGTAACGGAGTGCTGCTACATCGACTGACAAATAGCCTGACTCGCAACGGAGTGCTGCTACATCGACTGACAAATAGCCTGACTCGCAAGGGAATGCTGCTACATCGACTTACAAATAGCCTGACTCGATCGAGCTGCTACATCGATCGACAAATAGCCTGACTCGTAACGGAGTGCTGCTACATCGACTGACAAATAGCATGACTAGCAACGGAGTGCTGCTACATCGACTGACAAATAGCCTGACTCGCAAGGGAGTGCTGCTACATTGACTGAGGGTTTGGTTTGGCCAGGCAGTCTATCATTAAAAAAAAAATTTAATTTTTAAAACTTTTTCTGGTCTGGTTTATTAACGCGCTCTTTAAAACTACAGTTTATGGGAAACTTTTTTTGATGCCATGCAAGAGTATATATATATATATATATATATATATATATATATATATATATATATATATATATATATATATATATATATATATATATATATATATATATATATATATATATATATACATATATACATATATATATATATATATATATATATATATATATATATATATATATATATATATATATATATATATATATATATATATATATATATATATATATATATATATATATATATATATATATATATATATATATATATATATATATATATATATATATATATATATATGGGAGATTCCATGTGAAAACATCCAATTTTTTTTGAAAATGCAACCATTAGTCTCAGATTTTGCTGATTTTTAAACCACTTAAAGATTTTAGTAAATTATAAACATCCTGAAAATTTTATCGTCTAATTTCAATCGGTTCCTAAGATATAGCTATTTTAAGTTTGCCTCCAACTAACAAAAATCCGCCATTTTTAAAAATGGTTTTGGTCCTAGTTTCTGTTATATGTGTGTTGGAAAGCTGAAAATTTGTACCTTTACATAATTTGGGCCAACAAATCCAATGAAACAATTAAAAATATTTAAAAACAAGCATAACAGATAAAATTTGAACGTTTACTACAATTTTACTGGGGCGAGTCCAATCACAAAAATGCCGATGTAGCTTGATTTTTTTTTTTTTTTCTTTTTTTTTTTTGAAGTTGTCTTAAATAGTTAAGCTATAGTTACTACAAAGAATTGGAGAGTGGTCTTTTCTAAAACAGAAATAAAAATATGGTCAAATCTACTTAAATTTATTGCTTAAAAAACAGGTATTATGACAAATTAAACAAGAAAAAAAATGTGGTAATTTGACAGTTTTGCAACTGAAATCAGTTTTGGCTACATCAAACTGTTCTTTTAGTTGTTGTTGACTAGCTGTTTCTGTTTTCTTTGTAATTTTTTAGAATCTGATCTTGAAAAAGTTTAGTTTCAAAGGGGGAGAATTATATAAATGCAGATGTATATTGCAAATTTAGTTTTTTTTTTAGAAGTTGTATTAAATAGTTAAGTTGGAGTTATTACAAAGAATCAGATTGAGGTCTTAAATCAGAAATAAAAACATCTTCAAATATACTTAAATTTATTACTTATAAAACATTAGTTTCATATATATCAAACATCATTTAATAAACTAAAAAAAACAAAGACTCCAAAACAAATAGAGCACTCGGAAAGAAGTTCAAGAAATAAAAGTAATATACAAAATTTAAAAATTAAAAACTCAAAAATATTAAAATTTATCAGTTATTGTGTTAAAATCATTCACATCAATGTTATATGTTTGCCCTAATTTTGTTGTTGGGACTTTGATTACTGCAATCAATCTCGACAATGATACCCAACAGATATCATCTCTCTGTGGCTAAATAAAGTTTTGAGAATGGCCGTGAGGGTGCATAAACTTAATTTGAATATCATTTATAATAATATCTATCTCTATAACCATGCCTATCCACCAAAAGGAATTGTACTTGCATGCAATAAAATCATTTAGATTTGGTACAATAACAACATCAGACATTACTGCTTTTGACAGTATAAATCTGTCAACACATTAATGTTCGCTTGTTCTTTTAAAACTAATTTCAAATTTTGAAATAGGTATGTAATGATGATAACTTCTGGTACCTGGAACAGTTTTTCCTTTTTTAAATCGCTCCTTTAGTTGCTGTCTCCTTGCATTAACTGTTTCTTTGGAAACTTTATAAAATATGATTGTGTTTATAATGATGATGCAAAACTCAAGCATATCATCAACTGTCAATATTTAGTTTTCCAATGCCCTTTGCAAATTTGCTCTTGCTGTTATTCTTTTAACGATACCACCTATGCCATCACAAGTGGATTTTCCATGGCTGGTTGCAAAAAATACCCATTCAGCTGTAATCTTGAAATATTCCTTATGGTGGCATAGCTTTAAAATTTTTTTTATAGTTTTTATAATGAGCAGAACATCCATCAGAAAAATAATAAATTTTATTGATACCAACTAAATATTCCTTAATGTACTCTACAATTTTCTTTTGAAACTCATACAAAAAGCATGTAACATGATCATTGTCATCACTTAAAAAACAGAATGACTTAGGCTGAATATTTGCTTTAGAAAATTCCTTAAAATATATAACAACAGGATGAAGTGTACATTGTTGTTTATTCCAATGATAACTTTGTATTTCATCCTGTATAACAAATTGATAGTTCTCTGCAAAATCTGCCTGTATAATACATTCATTGTAACCTAAATTATTTTTTAGTTCTTTCAAATAGCGAGTTTGGCATTTAGCAATATATGAGTGTGAAGTTAGATGATTAATGTGAGAAACAACTAGTTCTTTATATTCAAATAAGTTAACTGATTGAGTAATTAATTGTGATCTATCAGTACTTTGCCATTGGTTGAATTGAATTTCTTCTTCTTCATCAATCTCAATTAATTCCTCATCTAAAAATGCCTTTAAGTTATCATAACCTGGACATTTGGCACATCTATGAACCATGCTTTTATTATTGCTTGTATCACATACTAATTTTGACATTAAATCTTTGTATGTAACATTCCATTGGACAGCATTTACAAGCAATATTGAGTTTTGATGGTAAATACAAACACATACACAGTGTGTACCATTTGGTCCCACACTAATACACCATTTTGGATGCAAACTACAAAACTTTGAAAATCCTATTTTATAATTAGGGTATTTACTTTTAAAATCAAAATAAAGCTCATGAAGGCACAATAATAATCTTTTTTGTTGTGGAGGACCACTTTTAACTTAAACACAATCTTTTTTACCAGGCATAATTCTAGAATGTTCATTTTGTTGAAAAAATCTTGAACCAAAGCTGTAAGAAAGTCAGGTATTTTTTGGTCTATTTTCTTATCAGGTATAGCAAGAATTCCATTTTCACTTTTAAGTTTCCTAGCACGTCGTATAAGATGTTCAGAAATTTCAAAATATTCTGAAGCGTATTTTCTAGACCAAGATTCAGGTGTAAGTGTTAATATTTGAATTTTTTTTTTAAATGGTTCAACTTTAAGTTTTTCTTTCATTAAAGTTGTCAAATGATCAAGATCATTTGATTTTTTTTTATCCATAGGATAACTGGAAAAAGTTGAGGCTACACTTAAGTTATCTATATTTACTCCATAGGCACTTGCTACACCTTCTTTCATTTTTGTGTAGGCTTTGACTAATTTTCTTTTTGCTGTTACAACTCGTTGATGCTTTGCGACACCATGAACTTTAATTGGTGAGACTCCAATTGATATTAAAGAGTTGTCTAACTGTTGTTTATTACAAGATTTAATTTTAACAAATAATACATCAAATAAATAAAAAACATTACCTGTTTTGTAATAAATCATTTGCAGTAAATCAATAAATCAAATCCATTGCAAAATAAGCATCTGCTAAAGTTACATCTCTTTATTGAGCTCGACACTTTCCTACTCCGGATTCTATTCTTTATCTCTATAAATCTCAAATCCGTCCTTGTATGGAATACTTTTTCCATATCTGGGGATGATCTTCTAATGATGCCCTTTCTCTTTTAGACAAGGTGGAAAAACGCATTGTAAACAAATTTGGAGCTGCTCTTGCAGCCAACCTTCAACCATTATCACATCATCGTAACGTTCCTTCTCTTTCTCTTTTCTACAAATACTATAATGGGCACTGCTCTAAAGAGCTAGCATCTCTTGCTTCCTTCATCTTGCTTTCCTGATTCATATAATTTGCAATCTTTTAAGTCGTCTCTCAATTGTTACCTTGCTCTACAAATTTCATCTTTTCTCTTCCAACTTTTACAGTGGTTGCTTACAGCCTTGTTGCAAGCAAAGATTTAAAAAATATATATTAACTTTATTAATAAAATTTTTTGTTATTATTATTATTATTTGTATTTATGGCAGGGTTCCTACTACTTAAAAACTGTAAATATCCTTTTAAAAAAAAGTCTTATTAAAAGTCCTTAGTAACCTTTAAAAAAGTTCAGATTTGACGGCTTTCCTTAATTTCTTCTTTTTATGCGGTCATCTGTCCTTTTTATGCGGTCAAAACATTTTTATGATATAAAATGATTCGAAAAATTTAGTTTTTTAAAAGTTTTTTCTATTATTACTCATTTATTATTACTAAATTTTCTAGGTTCTCCTTAGTATTCAACCTTCCTTTTAAATCGTTATATATTTAAGCAGTTATATTAATACGGACAAAAACTTTTTATAACCCAATGTATCACAATGTAAATTAATTTACTCTTGTTTACATGTCATGATGAAACATAGCGTTTATATATTTAATGCTTTCAAATCAAGCATATATGGTAAAATCCCTCAAAAATAGGTCTTTTCAGAAAAATTCCACATGTGCTTTTTCGTGCCGGCATGTCACTGATTAGCATTGCATATAGATTATAAACATTAAATTGTAAAAATTGGTCCAGCTTAGTGAACCAATAATATAATAATGCTACTGATACGGCCTTATTAATTTATTTGATGAAGGCCTAGAAGCAAAACCTTAAGTTATATAAGACTTTTAAAAGCTTTTCTCTTATAAGACATCACAGCAACTTACAGATGTGATGAGTCTTTTTTTAGAGACATCTGGTTCTGGTGTCTATACCAAGTTTATTCTTTTCTTCAAATACAGACAAAAGCAGATATTAGTGTGCATTTTCAAAACCAAAGAGATATTTTAATATGTTTGAAAGCCTTATTTAGGATTTTTTATGATGATAATATTTTTTACTATTTTTAATTATAAAGATTCGATATATCAAATCTTAAAAAAAATTATTAATAATTTCATCATATTAACATTATTTAAAATCAAATTTGATCAAATACTAGCTTTTGAGTACTGTATTTCTAATTAATAAATATTAGGAACCAGATCTCCAAAATAATTTTTGAATTTTTGAACTTGAATTTTTGAACTTTTGAATTTTCTTTTCTTTAAAGGGATCCCAAAGTGCTTAAACAAGTTGTGTTCATATTTAAAAAAAATGTTGGGCCTGAATTTTTTTGAGTAAAACAAAATAATAAAAGTATACCAATAAAAGTAAACCAACTTTGTAGTTTTAGTTGAAGTGCACCTTTTCTATTTTAGTGTGACTTTTAAGTCTTTAGAATATATACTTTTTTTTGACGCAATCTATATTGTTCTCATTTTGAGGCGTGACAGACAAGGTTTGGGAGCAAAACTCTCTGTTGTGTATTATTTTTTTTAACCTAATGTTTTATTTGAAAGTAGTTTTATGTTTTTTATTTATTATTATTGTTTATTTATAGTTATGTTTGTTATTTATTTTTATTTTTCAAAGTTTCATAGAGTAAGTGTATCAATGCGTACAGAAATATAGCTTTAGATATAGCAATAGTCACAGTGGATTATGCATAAATCGACTGATTTAAATAAGGATAGGTGTAGTAGAGTGTATATACATTGACTGAGGGATAAATTTTTTCTTTTTAATTAAAGATAAGTATTTATATATTTATTTAAAAACATAAATTAATTTATATAAAAAATTGTTAAATATTGAAATAGTAAAATATTTTTAAGTGAAATAATCAAAATAGTTGATAATAAGTTTTAATACCAGAGTACAACTAAGAAAAAATTAGTTGTACGCACGTACAAACCTATTTTTTTTGAAACATAAACTAATGTACGAGGTGTTAAAAAATAATAAAAATGAGTAATACAAGTTTTACAAAATAAGTTTCATTAAACATATACTCGCATATGACTAAATAAGTTTATTATTTTGTTGTGTTTTTAAAAAATATCCTTTTTATTTTTACACGCAACAACTTTATTTAAATTCTAAATAAAGTTATTTAAATTCTAAATGAAGTAATTAAATTAAAAACAAAACAAAAAACATTTCATTTAAATAATAATAAAAAACAAAAAAAGCAAAAATATTTTTATTAAATAATAATTTAAAAAAAATGAAAAAAAAGTTGTTTTTTCAAAATAATTAAATAAATTATTTGAATTAGAAATAAAAACAAAAAACAAACATTTTATCAAATCAAAATAAAATCAGCAAAATCTTAATGTTATAAAAGTTTGTTTTTCAAATTTTAAAGCAAATGTTGAAGTTTGAATAAAAGTTGGCCAACGTGAATAGCGTTTTTTTGTCATCTGTTTGCGTTTTTGAAGCCCTGTTTCAAAATTTTGTGTTGACCTAAAACCGTTAAAGGTCGTCAATCTTTTGCTGCCCTTATTTTTTCTAATACAGAGGGCTAATGTATCTATGTACGTATAAATATATCTTATTTTATTTTAGACTTCTTGATGTTATTCAAAGTCAAGCAAGACTCTTCCTAGTTTTTGAATATTTGAACCAGGACTTAAAAAAGTATATGGATATAGCACCAAAAGAAGGCATCAAAATGAATCAAATTAAGGTTATTATATTCTTAAAATAAATTTACACAAATTTTACTAATTTCACTAATTCATTAAATAATGCATTTCTTTTATTTCATACATAGAGTTATACACATCAACTTTTAAATGGAATTGCATACTGCCATGCACATAGGGTGTTGCATCGTGATTTAAAACCTCAAAATCTACTGATAGATACAGAAGGTTTTTAAAATGTTAATGTTTAAAAATATTTAAATAGTTCTTTTTTTTGTTTTATATATATTATTGTCATTTTTATTGTTAATTTTATTGCTTGTTGTTATGTGATCTTCATTTATTAAGTTATATTGGTTACAGCTAATCAACAAGGCTATATTTTTTTTTCATCGGATTTTTCATTTTTTTTTAAATATAAAAACAAAACATGTTTTGTTATTATAAGTTATTGTAATATATGCTGTACATGCATGCAATATATGCAATATATACATGCATCATTTACAATACATGTAGGTAGTATATAAAATATATATATATATATATATATATATATATATATATATACACAATACATACACTCTTTTTGAAATACATTCAAAGATAATCAGCTTTAAAAATTTGTTAAATATAAGGTCTTTTCCATGTTTTAGATTTGTGTTACTCTAAAGTTGATTAAAATACTAAATCTTGAATTTCTACTCGAAAAATTTATTTAAATGTTTATTTAAATTTACTTTGTCTTAAGCTTATCAGTAACAGTATTAAAATATTTGAATAATTTAATTCTTTTTCTCAATGTCATGATATTTAAATTTCTACATTTTTTTTCACATATGGGTATTAAAACAAATGTCAGGTACATGATATATGTAGATGTAGGTCTGCCTACAATTAGTAAGATCTAAACTGTTGCTAAACTGTCATGTACATGCCTTGATTTGTTTTTACGCTGAGTGAATTAAAATTTATTTCTGACTAAAATTTTGTTAAAAAGCAGGTTAGTTAAAGCTTATTGTATGTTTAATCCTAGATAAAAAACTGTAAATTTTATTATTCTTGAAAACATGACAAAGAGAGAAAGTTCTAAAGCAACAATGAGGAGGAAAACATCTAGTTTTTTTCTGGAATCGATCCCTTACAATAATTAAAAGAACCATGTCTAAAAGAGAAAGAGTTTCATTAGAAGAATCAGTCTAAGTATGACAACGATATTCCATACCACGGCAAATTGGAAATTTAGAGGTAGCAAATGGAATCACCAATTAGAAAGTGGCAAACACAATAACAAGAAGCAACCTTAACAGATGCTGTAGTGACTTTTTGCCAAGACTTGAGTATATAGTTGTGTCATCAACAAATTACTTTATAGGTAAGATTATGAGTAAGATCGAAGTAAGAAACAAAACAAGACCAGAAATGAAAACTTATGGTTCCTAAGAAGTTACTTGAAATGAAGTAGCATGTTGTCTATCAGGACAACTTTAGTACTGCATTTAGAAAGAAATGATTCAATAATTAATTAAAAACTTTATTTGAGACATCACATAAAACAAACTTATGGAGAAAACAGCTAGATAGACTTTATCAAAAGTCTCTGGTATATCAATAGCAATAGCTCTTGGTATTGCTATTGACAACCTTGTTTACTTTTGTTTTTAACTCTTTTTAAATTCTTTTCAAGTTCTTCAAATTCTTTTCAAGTTCTTTTCAAATTTAATTTACAACTTTTATACATAAAAAAAAGTTCTCAAGGGTGTAATTATAAACAAAAATAGGTTATGACTAGCAGTAATAAATTACATCAATTAACTTAATTATTATAACAAAAATAGTCATCAACATAACATTAAAATTTGATAACAATTAGCCATTATCACAATATATGAGGCGCAAAATAAGAAATGTTACAAAATATTCATTTCAACTTATTTAAAAAGTAGAAGTAGGACATCATTTGGTCTTTCTTACATTAATTTTCATTAATTTTAAAGCGTTCTGATTTTTGGTTTAGTTAAAAACTTTGTGAGTGAAAACTTATGTTCTTTTTTGTTTTGTTTATTAGTTAAATTCAGCGTTGTATAATTTAAGGGCAATACAAAAAAATGTTTATTAATGTGTTATTAAAATTTTAAATTTAATTTTTATTATTATTTTTAACAAAAAAATGTTTATTATTATTATTATTATTAATAGATGTCATTTCTCTTTACACAAGGATTAAATTAAAATTAAACAAATATCTACAAAATGTACTCTACAAAAATTTAACTAATTTTAACTAAATGTTTATTATTTTAATACTTTATTTTGGTTGGCATGTTTAATGTTAGCAATTTTTTAATTATATGTTATTTGTTTTTAATTTGTTTAATAATTCGTTTTTTTTTTATAACTTTAATTAATAGTTCAATGTGTTGTAGTGTTTAACTTGTGTTATGCTTTCTTCATGCTATTAGGGTTTGTTGATAGTTGTGCAATTTCTTAAAACAGTCACATAATAATAATTTTAGAACTTCAAAGTAAAGATATTTATTTTGTTTTAGTAAACATAATCAATAATGGATTGCAGATTATCCAATATTTATTTAGCAAAACTGCTAAAAAAGTTTGGTACTCAAAAGTTGTATCCCTCGGAACTCACTGATGCTTTTTGTGATTACTTTAGGGTTCAAAGTGCTAAATCTTCCAGTTGCAGTAATAAAGTCAATAGACATTTTATTTTTCCATATGGAAATTATTTAAAAAAAAACTTTAGATTAGTTAATATTTTGAAAAATATTTATTAGAAATGGTTCTTATTTCATTGCTAACATAAAAATGTATGAAAAAAGTAATAATATACACAAACTTTTATTATGAAAAATTTATACAGTTCTAAAAAATTTCAATTGACTTTCAAATTCATTTTTCTCTACAAATGATTTTCAAAATTGTTTTTCAATTTTATTTTTAAATTGCTACTATTAATTCTGCAGATTTACCAATGATGATGCTATGAAGCTGATTTTTTTTTTTAATTTTTAAACTCAATTCAAATGTGTCAATAACTCCATTTCACAGACTTTTTCTTATTTTGTGCCTCATATTATAGAGATTAGGGTTGCTAATCATTTATAATACTGGTAGGATAAAACTGTAACTGTACTGGTAGGATAAAACTTTTTTGAAGTTGACAAGAGACAGGTTGGGGATAGAGTAGGATGGAGGAAAAAAGTTGTGGTCAGATTTTGTTAGTATTAGCATATCCATAATTATTGAATTACTTGTTGAAATTTCACAACTTGAGAAAGTTGTTGTTTTATACCAACGACTACAAAAATAAGATTTTTGAAAATCTAAAAGATTTTATTTTAATGTAATTAAAATTTTGATTTTTTTGTATTTTTTCATTTATAGATTGAAAAATAAACAAATTTCAAGAAAATTTTAATAAAAAAGAGTGAATGTTTGAGATTTTAAGTTTTTCAGATTGCAAATAATTTAATATTTCTAATAATTTCCAAGAATGATTCAACTGTATGACTTAGACAGTATCAGGTTTTTTTAAAAAAGCTAAATTTAGTAAGGATTTTGGTGGGTTAATATATTATGCAGCTTACTTGTTGCATGTTGCGGACATAATCTACCCTATTAATTATTTATTTTTTTATTATATTAATAATAAAAATTAAAATCTAGTTTTTGAACTCATAGATAATTTTTTAACTTACTTGTAGATAAAAAGGCTTTAATATTATTATTTTACATTTTTTTTAGGTAAAATAAAGCTTGCTGACTTTGGTTTAGCTCGCGCTTTTGGTCTACCTATGCGTTCATATACACATGAAGTTGTAACATTATGGTACAGAGCTCCAGAGATTCTGTTAGGTACAAAGATGTATTCTACTGCTGTTGATATCTGGAGCATAGGCTGTATATTTGTTGAAATGGTGATTTATTATTACTTTATATATTTATAATTATAGTTATTATTGTAGTTGTTGAATTATTCAGGTAATAAACTATTTTAATAAAAGTATTTTCACTAATCTTTAAAAATAATTAAAGAATTATAAATAAAAAAGTTTACTTTCATGATGTTTAAGGATTGATATATCAATTTTACAAACATTTTGAGTTGATATTTAATATCAATTTCTTTATACTTGAAAAGTAGCATTTAATGGCTAACAGTATAGAAATAGAAAACACAATTAAAATTTAGAGAAGATTATTTTAATATTCAGATTAAATTATTTTTGTTAAATACGCTTAATGTTTATGGTTACATATAGTTTATTGAAAAGTATTAAAATCCTATTATTGACTGGTTTAACTCTTAAAACCAAATCCAATAGATTAGTTATATAACCATGGTTTGATAAATAACCTTTAAATTTAAAAAACATAAATAAATGGCATCATTTGGTATCGTTGTATTTAAGACTAAGAAAAAGTAACAAGTTTTTGTATTTTTATTTTAGAATATAAATTATTTGCGGATTTCCTACCTAATGTTTTGATAAAATAAAATTAATAGACAATATAAATAATGCAGCAGAAAAGCAAACATAGTTTGTTGGTTATTTAAAGATCTAACTTGAGTTAACTAAGACCATAAAACTCTACAAAGTTAATGCAGCAACAGCTTATGCTTATGTTTATCATTGATTTAAAAGTATTTAAATTGATTCGATGACTGATTGATATAATGAAATCCAATTATAGACAATTTAAAAAAGTTTTTGTTATCTAACTGTTATATTTTTAGTCAGATAAATCAATATGCTATGTAAAACTAATAAACATTTATAAATTTTTGAATCTTTTTGAATTTGAATTGTTATAAATCTTTAAAAATTTGTTCTTTAAGCAAGTTTATATGATAATGGAGAGTTTGTCACTTTCTAAAAAATGAATTAAATTTTTATGATTAATTGTTATAAAAAATTTCTTTAGTATCCTCTCCCCTAACTTGCCATTTTCCTAAATTCAATTCTATAACTTATACGAAGGTAGCATTCAAAGCACCTAATCCATTCATGTAATATGGTCAATCCAAGCTCAGTGGAAACTGTATTAGAGATTTTTGAAAAAGCAACATTTAGATTGTTCATATTTTAAGGGGTCAGTCCACAAATACTACAAAGTATTTGTGGGCTGACCACTTGAAAAGAATTACTGGAAGGCAAAACTATAGTAGCAAATTTTTCATCAATCATTGTGCATTCTAACTTATGTTTGATAGTAAAGGAATTAAAGACAGTTGGTTTAAAATTACTGTTCTTGAAGGAAATATATTCTTGTGTAATAACCTCAGCAGATTCTTTTACATATTGAAATCATACAGGACAGCAGTAAAGTGTAGAGGATGGTTTTTCAATAGTTCATAGTAATTTGCCAGATTCTTCAATATAAAGTTGAATCTCGTCTTCTGTACATTGTTTATATAATGTTTGGCCGGTTGAACTATCAAATTCTCTTTTGTGTATAAAGACAAGAATGGATTTTGTCAGGAGCCTTTACAGATTCATTGAGTATTTTTAACAACCTCTATGTAGTATGGTCAATAACCCTTTTTAAATCAACTAAGGCTGAATAATCAGTAGTTTGAATTCCATAAGGTATGCATAAATCTTTTTCTTTCCTCACTTCATTATAAGTTGGATACAATTTGTTACCTTTAGAAACTGCTCCAGTATGAATTGTTTGGTATTCAGCTTTATCAAGTCGACAGTCCAAAATTAAGGCTTCCTCTCCAGTATACACTGTTGTTGAAATAACTGTACCATCTTTCTCTGATTTTGATATTTGCTTCACAATCTTAAGTGTAAAAATTTAAATTTGAGGAATGAGATGAATAAAATCCACAAAGAAAATCATCCATAGTATTTTGGATATTATTATTTTTATTTTTTAATAAATAAGATCAATTCAAAATGCTTATAGTATAGATAATAATAAACCTTAACATCGGTGAGCCTTTTTTCCTATTTTAGTTCCAAAATAAAACAGTTCCAAAATAAAACAGTTCAGAAAGACAGCAATGTTTGTTTTTTTTTTTGCTCTCCTTCTCTTTGTTTTTTCAGAAGCTTGGGTGAATGGCATGGAATTTGCACCTGGTGGTCTTCCTTTGACAACTATTTTAAATTAAAATATCAGATGATTGTATTAAGTGTAAACACTTGCTAAAACACAATTAAATAGTAAAAAACATTATTAGTCCATTACTTTAATTTTTATGAAATACCTAAATTGTGAGAAGAAGTAGGAGAAGCCAAGCCCGAGTTTTGGCCCTTGTCTAGTTTTTCTGTTTCAAAATATGCTTTGCTTGTTTGTAGTTCTGTTTCTAACCAGATTTGTAATGCAACTGAAATCTATCCTTGTGTCTGTTTACTTTATTCCATTTTTTGTTAAATTGTTGAGAAAAAAATTTAAAGTCTATGTCAGAGATCATAGAAAACAGAAATCTGTTTACTATTGCTAGAAACCATTGTAAAAAAATTTTGTCTCATGTTAAAGCCCTCTATTCTCACAAAATCTTGTATTTCATCTCAAAAATTAGGCTCCAGAGATTTCTTTAGAATCATTAACAGTGTCTATAATAAGGGCAAATCTGTTATTCCTTTTCTCTTGCATGTTTCAGATTTTGTTACATTGCCTAAAAACAAAGCTGTATTGTTTGCTAAGAACTTTTCATCAATCTCATCTCTTGATTCTTCTAATCAAATCCTACATGATATAGGAGACAAACAGGTTGATCCATTGCTTGACAATCTTATCACTCTAGTTTCTTTATCTAAAGTAATTTCCTGCTTAGACTCAAATATATTTTTATAATAGTTGATTTACATTGTGTCAAAAAAGGTTATCATCCACCCCATTTGTAGATTTTTCAAATTTGATAACATTTTATTCAGCAAAGATACAAGCATAATTTCAACTGAATTATAACAATTAAACATTCAAATAATAAAAAAAATGAAATTCATTTCTTTAAAAAGATTTTTAAAGTAAGGAATAATGAGTAAAATATAGAGTTTTAAATTTAAAAAAATGCAGGTTTTAGTGTCAAAAACGTTTTCATCCACTTAACAAAAAACAACTAAAATTGTTAAGGAACTCAATTCCTTAGTGTTCTTGTGTGTTCCAATACCTTGTGTGTCCACCATGAGCTTTTATTACATCATATAGTCTATTTTTCATAGTACAAACTAATTTTTTGCTATTTGGAGTGATTAAGCTTAACTCTTCTGTAATTACTGATTTTAGTTTTTCCAATTTCTCACATTGTGCATCCTTATTCTTCTACTTAATTCATCAAAGATGTTCATCAGGATCTAAATCTGAAGATTGGGGGGGGGGGGGGTGAAGTTGGTTAGCTATTTTAAATATGAGCCATTCATTGAGGAAAATAATGTTTGAGGAAAAAATATGCTTGGCTGTATGTTTTGGGTCATTATCACACTGAAAAATAAATGACCTAGTACACCCCATTTTTCGAGCGCTTTTTAGATTATTTTTCAGAATATTTCAATAGACATATTGATCCATAATTCCATTAATAATTACCAAGTTTCCTACACCTGCAGCACTCATACACTCTTACATTAATACACTTCTTCCTCTATTCTTCATTATTGGATACCTGGTTTGTGTTTTCAGTTCTTCATTTGTTCTCCAAACTTTAACTCTTCATTCGATAAAAACAAATTAAATTTCAACTCATCGCTAAAAATGACCTTTTTTTTTCTTTTTATTTACAACAAGGTTGGAAATAAAAAGAAAAATTATTTTTCTATCAGAGTTGAAAGTTACTTGGAAAGAAAAGATGAAGTTTATAAAACATTATAAATATTAAGAGACAACTTGAAAGATAGCAAATTATATGAATCAGGAAAACAAGATAAAGGGAGCCAACTCTAAAGAACTAATGTTTGAGGAAAAAAAACTAGGCAAATAAAAAATTTTGGAGCACTTAGGAACAGTCACAGTAAAAGTATGAGATATAATTAAATGACAAGTAACATGAGAATAAATTTTAGTAGATAACATAAGAAATGCTTTACAATTAGTTTTTGCACCTAGTCTAAAAGAGAAAGGGCCTCGTTCGAAGATCTGCTCTAGATATGGAAACAGTATTCCATATGAGGATGGATTTGAGATTTATAGAGATAAGTAATAGAAATAAGTAAGAAAGTGGCGAGCTTGATGAAGAAATGCAACTTTAGCAGATTCAAATTTTGCAACGGATTTGATATAATTTCCAAGAAAGATAGGTAAGTAAGAGTTAGTTCTAAAGGACAGAGGGTAGGTGACTCATCAAGTACATTACCGTTCATAAATATAGGAAGATCTAGATTGTTGTGATAAGGATTAGTTGAAAAAAGTTAAGTTTTATCTGAGTTAAAGTTCATCAGCCACTGAGAGCCCCATGCTGTAGCAGAAATTAGATCTTTTTCAAGCTCAAATGCCCTCTCCAAGCAATCAGAGGATCTTCTTATCAAGACAAAAATAAATGGTAATATCATCAGCGAACAATGTTAACTTAGATGTGATAATTTCAGGGAGATCGTTAATTAAAATTTTAAAAAATTTAGGGCTAAGGATAGAACCTTGAGCAACTCCTAAAGTTACAGAAAAGAAAAAAGAGTGCTTTCAATCAAGGACAACTTTTATAGAAGGATTCAATAGTCTTAAAGATGTTGCCTGATACACCATAAGAAGAGGGTTTATGCAGAAGACCAGCATTCCAAACTTTATCAAGGGCTTTAGAAATGTTGAGAGTGATAGCCTTAATCTCTTTACATCTATCTACTTAATGATAAAACCTATCAGTTATTACCGTTAACAAATTAGCAGTAGAACAAGAAGAACAAAACCCATATTGATGATCAGAAAGTTATTAGATTCAAGATGAGAGATTAAGTAATTGTTAATTAAAAACTCA